TTGTGTCTCTTTAGCATATTATATTTATAGTTAATCGTTCTTATATGTAGATAAACTGTTATTTTAAATACTTATTAGTAGCGATGGGAACTATCGAATGAATTAGACTATCGAATGGTTACTGAATGAATGATTTCAACTATCGAATGGTTTTATTCGAATAAAATCATTCATTCATTTGTATACTAAAGCATATGTGACAACCTCGCCGTGCGACTAAATGGTTATCGTTGAGCCACGACTATCGAATGCTTTTGATAAATGAAAAATGAAATTTAGTATTCGTTTGATTTTTGTGTGCGTCAGTGCATTATTAGTTCTTCAAATTTTTAAACTTCACCTTATAAATACTGTGCTATTTTTGCGTTTATTAAAATATTTAAAATACTAAAATAGTAGTTTTTTTAATTGACGATTGTGTGCGTGTGCAGGTGTCAAATTTTTCCGAAAATTTGTGTGATTTTCTGTAGCTCGATCTTTCAATTATTTTATTTTATATGGTATTTATGGTCTATTTTTTAATGGGAAATTTTGAGAAGTAGCAATTTTTAAGAGAAATGAGATGAACTTGAAGTTTTACACGTGCCAATTTAAAAAAAAAGTTAACGATGTTTGTATTTTGTTTATGCTAATTCTCTTACATGTAGTTTTTTGCGAAGAAATATTTCATTTATTTTTTAATGTAAATGCCAGTAAAAGTAAATATTATTTTTTAATAATAATGTAAAGTACCCAATATAAATAATTTTGATTTCTAATTTTTCATTTATATTTTCCTTCCATTACACTGCATGCTTAGAAAATTAATAAATGTTTATATTTCATGATTTTAAAGTTTGTTGTTAATATAACAAATTAGCTCTGTAATTATTATTATTTAATAAACCAACGATGCCAAAAAATTTAGAGACTATATTATTTTTAAATAGGATCTAATATAAATAATTTTGACTTCTAATTTGTTGTTTATATTTTGCTACTACGTAAAAAAATGTTTATATTAAATTATTTTAAATTTTGTTGTTAATAGGTATAACAAATTATTACTGTTATTATTATTTTTATTAAACCAGTCTTTATTAAAAACATTAAAAATCATTTTCCTACATCCGAAATATTTTATTATCTAACCTAACCTAACAACAGAATATTAATAAAAAAAATGCAAAATATATAGACATACTATCCGTAACTAACTAAAGCCAAACAATAATATTCTTTGCTAATATCAACTAATACCAATATATGGCAACAGCGCCCTTCATAATGTATTTTCTGTGTAAATACTAGCACCTCAATAAAAAAATAATGTGTCCTTATCTTTATATGACTCCGCAAAAAATCAAAGATGCCGGCTTCTTTCTAGCATTGCCACCGACCGCTGTCGGGTTTCTCGGAAAGAAACCTACGTCGCCGGGCGACAACTAAAATCAGTTAATATTTTATTATAATCGATCCTGACGAATAAATGAATTTCATAAATGAATGAATTTTATAAATGAATGGTTTTTGCTGCCGAATTACTAGAATACAATATTTCAAGGCAGATGACGCATCTATTCGATAATTTTTATTCGAATAGTTTTCAACGAATGTTTTTTTACTAGCTATCGAATTATTCGAATGAATTGCAACTATCGAATGTTTCGATAGTATTCATTCGATAGTTCCCACTACTACTTATTAGATTAGATCTACTACTGATACGCACGGTCTTCTACTAATCTTTAGGTTAGAATCTCCTGTCCTATCCTCTTCAAAAAGTCTAGCAACTTGGAGACTGAACCTGGCTGAACCCCCCATATAAGTATGGTCCTGAAGTTTTGTGAAAAAATTCAGAAACTGAAAACTGTTATAAAAATAGTTTTATGTTTTTATCATATTTTTAAAGAACCTATGTTTACTATCCTAATTATAAAATTTTAACCTAAAATTTACCTTTGAACAACTTCGGCGTCGATTTCTCTAATTTTTCTGAATATACGGCATCGCAATTATTGTTCTTCGGCAAAAAAAGGCAAATTTACACATGGCATCCCGTCTTAACATTCTTTGATTGTGCGATAAATTGTCGATTTGCTAATGTTTTGATCCCGATAAATGACGACAATATCTCGTTTCGCCATTCGCCCAACAAGATTATAAACTCCTCGAAGAAGATCAATTTTATAAGACATTTTAAGAAGCACAACCCAAAATTTTTTGCTTTGTTTATTGCACAAAACAGCCACTGTCATGTTAAGAAATGAAAGTAAATAATAAAGCACCTCTCGTGTTTGTTCGCACTCAAACAATTTCAATAATGCCTGTATACAGGGTGTTTCAAAACAAATGCGAAAAACTTCAGGGGGCGATTCCTTGTTCAAAATAAAGGGTAGTTTGATTCATAAACGTTGGGTCAAAAGTCAACCATTAGGGAGATATCGCGGTACAAAGATGGCGGAAAAATAATGTTTTTATTTTTTATCTTGAAAACGAAAAGATCGTTATTGATTTCTGGTAATTTTTTCACTTTTTTAAAATGAGTGGAAGGGGTTGAAATAAACTACCCCTATCATTCTTGTTAACGAAATTTAAAGAAAAATCGTATCAAACACATGCAAAAAAATTAATTTGGATAGTTTAGTTTGTTTAGAAACTTTTTTATCTCTTGTATTTTTTTGATAAAACTCACCGATTTAAAATTAAAAAATAAAATGTAAAGCATTACATGTCAGGACAAAAAACATTTTCTGATAAAGAATCTAGTGGGCTGCTGTAATTTTTTTAGGAAAAAATCTAGTCGGCCGCTGTTACTTTTTAGGATGTTCCTAATAATTATTTTATTTGACATTACTCTACTGCAATACGTTATTATCTAGATGATTATTATTATCGTTATTATCACTAGATTCTTAATCTAAAAATGTTTTTTGTCCTGACATGTAATGCTTTACATTTTATTTTTTAATTTCAAATCGGTGAGTTTTATCAAAAAAACACAAGAGATAAAAAAATTTCTAAACAAACTAAACTATCCAAATTAAAGCATTTGCATGTGTTTGATAAGATTTTTCTTTAAATTTCGTTAACAAGAATGATAGGGGTAGTTTATTTCAACCCCTTCCACTCATTTTAAAAAAGTGAAAAAATTACCAGAAAGTGTGTTTACATAACAGTAATGCTTCCATAAAATTTCATTAGCCTATCTCTTTTTGTTTTCAAGATAAAAAATAAAAACATTATTTTTTCGCCATCTTTGTACCGCGATATCTCCCTAATGGTTGACTTTTGACCCAACGTTTATAAAGCAAACTACCCTTTATTTTGAACAAGGAATCACCCCCTAAAGTTTTTCGCATTTGTTTTGAAACACCTTGTATATTTTTAATATATTTTTTAAATTTACATTTATTTAATTGAAAAGTAATATATTACATTTAAATGAAATATATTACATAACAATTATGTCAATTACAGGATTAAGCCCCATACTCACACTTCGCTACTTCACTTCGTTCCTTCCTCGCGTCCCTTCGTCCAAAAATCTTATATTTACTATGGGAAATGTTGATTTTATGCGACTGTGTGTTCCTTCGTTTCTTCGTCAAAACGCTCCTTCGTCCGTTTACTTCCTCGAAACAGTCGAAACGCTCCTTCCCCGTACTGTCGGTTTTTGGAGGAAGTAGCAAAGGAGTTATCACGAACACAAAAAATATTAAAATATATCAAATATATAAATCGATCTTGGATTTCATTCGTAGTTGATTTCTTGATTTGACAGTACGTCTGTACAGGGTGTCCCATTTTCGTGTGTTTTGCAGGGTTTCTCGTTTATGAGTCGAGCTACAAAGATGCGGTTTTCGAAGATGCTACATACAGATATGTCTTAGCTCTCTTACTTTCTAATATACAGCGTACAATTTTCGCGTCGCACGTTGTCGTGGTCAGTTGTCGGTTTGTGTTTTGCTTTCTGTACTGTTCGTTTCGTTACTGTAGTGGTGCGATTCGGTGTTTTTTTAGCATAAATTCCCAATATATTTGTTCAAAATGGTATTCTGTTATGGTGTTCCTGGCTGTAGAAATACTAGCAAAGATGTGAAAACGCATTGCCTCCCAAAATACTCTGAGGTAAGAATCTACCTTTAATTTTTATGTTATTATATCTTAATTCAGTACATTTCAGTTAAAAGTTTGTCTTAGAATCTCATTTTAAAAATATTAAATTCTACTAAAGTGTAGTTTTTCCATTATTTTGTTTTAGTAAATATTCTATATTCTGTTATTTTATACTAGGTACTTAAAAAAAATTTTTATTGTTTTTATAGATGAGAAGAACGTGGTGACAAGCAGTAAATCGACTTGATTTGGTAGATATTTTGTTTATATTTTTTATTTAATTCTAAATAAAAATAATATAAAAGTAATCTCTGTTTTTTATTAACATATAATTTTACATTAAATACATATCTTGAATAATTCAAAGCAATAAAGTAGGTTGCAAACTATTTATATTTGATGAAATAGTAATCAAAACAATAGTTGCAACTTGCTTTATAGTTTTGAATTATTCCGATTTGAATATATCGGCAAATGAAGCTTAGTACCCGCACGCTCCACGAGCGTCGCTGCAAAACATGTTTTGGCGGGAGGGCGAGAGTCGCAAATCTAAATTAGTTCTGTTATCTATGGTCTAGTGTGAGCAATCGGAGCAAACACACCTCTGAGGATGCTAGCCACTCGTGCTAGCGAAACGTTAGGAAGCAATTCTAACCGACGACGGCCTAAAAACCCGAAAAACCAAGTAAATGTCATTCATTGTGACAGTTTTCAGATCCAGAAATATTCCAAATATATTTACAAAAAGTATATTTACCTACATAATTTATCATAAAATAAACTTTGTCTGGGCTAGTGCATCAAAATTTCGTACTATTTTTAAGTCAAGTTTGTTTATCGTATTATCTACTTAACGCTACTTTTATTTATTAATGATATTTTCTAGTGCCACTTGTAGTTTTCATATAGTAATCAGTGTTTGGTCCTCGAAACGTATTTAGATAAACGAACTATAGTTTAATCCTGCCTGTTTAGTTTGTCAGTTCTTGTCTGATCGCAATCATGACCCAGAAGTGCAAGAAGATTATAATAGACGATGTGGCATACGAAGTTGTACCCCCTGATGGAGGATGGGGTTACTTAGTGGCACTAGCTACCACTGTCATGTATGTAAGTTAGCAATGATTTACAATTAAAATCTTAGATCATATACACGGTCAGCCTTAAATAAGTGCAAATATTTTCAGGGCTGGTAGATATCGATAAAAGAAACAGATTTTCTCTTTGCTGTTTTGCAAATAAGTCCAAAAACCAAGGTATTTTACTTTGAAAATTTCACAAAAAAATATTTTTCGCTTAAATTTTGAGAACCACTGGATCTTTACTGAGTTTTCTTTCTTCTAAATTTAATCTACTACCTATCTTGCCATATTATATCAAGAAATTATTGGTTTTTAACTAAAAACTAAAAAAAAATCCAAAAAATTCCAAATTTTCAATTTTTTTTCGCTAAAAAAACCTCATTATCGTTATTCTGGGGTCGATATTTTTTATTTTTATTTTTATTTTTATTTACTCATTACAAACACCTATTGAGGTAGCTACATGCAAAGGCCCAAAGAAAACAAATACAATTACAATTACTTAAAACTAGACATGTACTACAAAAGTACATAAAAATAATATAAAATAAAGTATATATAATAATAAATAAAGTAAATAAGTAACAAAGTACATAACATTTAATTTATAAAATGTGCAATAAAAAAACAATGAAACCTATCACACCAGATTTGTCTCCTGATGCACCAACAAGATGCGCCTAAGTTCGCAAACCTAATGCTAAATATATGGGGAATTGTGTTCCCAGACAACATATCATTACAAATGGTGAGCATAAACGTGAATGGCGAGGGGCTTCCACCCTCAATGTAAAAAAGATTAAACTAACTCACTCTCAACCTAATCTTTGGTACCCTAAATTTGATGCTATTAATCAGACCACAGTCAGCATATTTTAAATTATTAAGAATGTTATATATAAAGATGACAGCATGTGTCCTTCTCCTAGAGGCCAGCGAAGTTAAATGAAATGTTTCCAACATTGATCTGTAAGAGATCATTGTTGGATACATGTTGTTTCTTTTAATGTAAATATAACGAAGGAAACGTTTTGAACCTTCTCAATCTCGTTACTGTGAGTGTAACAATTGGGAGACCAGATATTTGACGCATATTCAAGATGCGGTCTTACAAGAGAGGTATAAAGTCTTGTAGTTGATTGTATATCGAAATCTTTACTATTACGCATAACAAAACCAAGAATCCTATATGCCTTGTTAATCAGCTAGTTGTAATGATTGTTAAATTTAAAATTGTCCTGAAAAATCACTCCTAGGTCTTTAACTTCCCTACACCTCACAACCTTACAATTTCCAATGTAGTAGTCTTCAATGACTGTATTGATCCTCCGGGAAAAAGAAACAACACAACACTTTTTAGTATTAACAAGCATCTTGTTCTCCTTAAACCAGTCCAGAGCCAAGTTCAAATCAGTTTGGAGAGCCCTAGTATCATCAATATTATTAATTGGTTTAAATAATTTAAAATCGTCCGCAAACAACAGCCCCAAAGACACCCTCAGACTCTCAGGCAAATTATTAATAAAGATTAAAAACAAAAGAGGGTCCAATATACTGCCCTGGGGTACCCCGGAGGTGGCAACATATTGATTGGATTGAAATATTACGTATCTTAACTCTTTGAACTCTCGAAATTAAGTATGAAGTTAAAAACCACAGCGACTCACCTGATAACCCGAGATCTGCCAGTTTTTCAATCATAACACAAAAACTCACCTTATCATAAGCATTTGCACAGGAAGTATATATGACATCAAGTTGCTGTTTGTTTGACATTGCCTTCGATACATGTTCAGAGAACACACATAGGTTTGTAACTGTTGACCTTCCCGGCAGGAAACCATGTTGATATTTTGAAATTCTATCAGATATGAATGAGTATATGTAGTTATATATAATTCTTTCAAATATTTAGCCAGGCTATTTAGTAAGCTGATAGGTCGATGATCGTGAACATTCTCCCTCTTTCCCTTTTTAAATATAGGTGTTACAGTGGCTTCTTTAAGCTTGTCAGGAAAATATCCCTGTTTCAGAGCTAAATTAAAAATATGTTTAAGAGGGGCGACCAGAAAACTAGCACATCCCTTATATATATAAGGAGGTATATTATCGGGACCAGTTGTTTTTTAGGCTTTAAGGTCTTTATGCTGGACAGAATGTCATTATCGGAGACCTGAGGGAAACGAAAGCCGCTCTCATAACGACAAAATTGATGTACAGGATTTGGTTCAAATACAGAATGAAAATATTGCGCAAACGCATCAGCAATACTCTGTTCATCTCTCAAGTCCACATTATTTGAGTTCATCCTCCTTGGCACACCCCCCACAATGTGATCTGTTGCGCACGAATGACCAGAAGGTACTGGGATCGTTATTGATATTATTGTTAATTGTTTTTTATAATTGGCATAATTTAATCTTGTCAGTTTTTTAATATCATACCTCAATGATCTAAATTCATTTATATCTGACAAACTTACTCTACCTCTAGCTTTTAGAGCATGTAGGTGGTTTTTCCTTCTAGTCATACGAACCAGGTCCGAGGTGAACCAAGGAGGATACCTTCTGACCCGAGTCCTTACCATGCACTTGGGTATCGAGGCATCCAAACATCCATACATGTATTCATAAAAGCATTAACACCCTCGTTCACATCCCGACAAGACAATACATCCGACCAGTCACATTCGCTCAAAAGATTAAATAACAGGAGGAAGTTACCCTTAGTAAAATTATATTTATAGCCCCTCACAAACGTACTCACTTCTCGCTCCCTCTGCAACGACAACTGTATGTCCAATGCTGGGTGATATGTATCCCCCGTAAGCAGGGGACACTCTGACCGTGAAAGTATCGCGTCAACATTTGAAATGACAAATCCAATTGTCTACCCATACTATTATTTACAGTATTCAATTGCCTCAAATCATGTAGGCTCAAAAATTGTTGCATCAGGAGACATTTATCATCAGACCCTAAACAAAAATATGGCAGGTTAAAATCACCTAAAATTAAAATCTTATGATTTAAAGTAGATAAAATATTCTCTAATACACTTAAAAATCTCTCAAAGCAAGTGGTATTGATACCACTGTTAGGTCTCATATAGACAATACACATATATAAAATAGACTTTTTAAGTTTTAATTTAATTAGGATACATTCATTATCACAGTTTCTGTCTATTACCTCATAAGAAATTTCCTTTTTTATGTATATGACATGAGATATGTACCCCTAAAAATATTTGCATTTATTTAAGACTCACCCTGTATATATGTATATACTTACATGGATAAAATAAATAACTCCAACATAGTACCGATAAAATGTTGATAGTAAATTGTCCCAAACATAGTACCGATAAAATGTTATCTTAGTTCTTTGTTGCACGCGCGGCACTGCTACTCTATCCTTGCCAGGAACTATCGTCCACGCGCGAAATTTGAATATGAATTTTAAGAAATTATTATAAATTAATATACAACTATAAATAAACATAAAATTAAGTTCTAACTGAACACACCTCTCTCCTTTGCAATATAAAAAAGACTTTTATCTCATTTTTATAATTGTTGTTGAAATCAAAATAAAAAGTTGAAAAAAAACGTCAACGCAATGAAAGTTTATCACTTTTGTGACAGTTTTCAGGGTTGTCCTATTTTTTTTTTTTTTTTTTTTTTGAAAAAACGATATATGTTCGTTGTATTGTACAACGGCGACCCCTAGCGTCTACTCTCAAATGTGTAGTATTATTGTTAATAAGGTTGAGTCTACAGCTCTTTTAAAAGAGACCTAGTTTATTGTATTCTGATTACCCAGTCCGAAGTTATAAAACTTTATCTTAAATCTAAAATTTTCAGAAGATTATGACGTTATTATTTATTGGCTAAGTAAAATTTTGTAAAAATTCCATTTTCTTATTTGCCATAGCAGTTGCGTCCCCTAGCGGCCGTTCTAGGAACTTGAAAATAATTCCCAGCAATTCCTCATGGTCTATTTAGTTATAAATATTTTTTTTCCGCAGCCTCTACGGTTAATACCGTATGATCGAATAAAAACGGCGTCAGCGATGGCTATGAAATGACGATCGATGACATTTCCCATGTAATTTTACACAAAATGACAGCACCCTTTTTCATAGCCATCGCTGACGCCGTTTTTATTCGATCATACGGTACTTTCCGAAATACAGCCGAGAGCTATTATCATTGGAACACCCAGTACATATTATGAAAACCTTTATATAAGGTGAGTCTTAAATAAGTGCAAATAATTTAGGGGTAGTAATTTTCGATCCCAGAAACACGATTATGAGATTTTTTCGCCCAAAGGTTTTTGAAAATTTGGATTTTTTTTCAAAAAAATTTGGAATTTTTTAAGTTAAAAAACATAATTTCTTAGAAAACCCCAAAAAGATTCGGTGGTTCTCAAAATTTAAGCAAAATAATTTTTTGGGAAATTTTCCAAATAAAATAACGCGCTTATTTTGGAATTATTTAAAAAACTGTAAAGAGAAAATATGTTTCTTTTATCGAGATCTACCGGCCCTGAAAATATTTGCACTTATTTAATACTCACCCTGTGTAATTTGTGCTAGTTACTATTATTACCCGCATATTTTAAAAAAAGCTTGGAATTGAAAAAACATTTTCAGGATTCACAGTCCTTGAGAATATAATTAAACTTGCACTAACCCAAAGAAGACAAAAAACATACAATTAAAATAAAATTTCAGCCTTTTATTTAAACAATTAAAGATAAATAAAACTCTCTATACAGGGTTGTTCACCACATACAACAAGGAGTATTGTAGCCAAACGATTAGATTTTTACAAATTCTAAAAGATGGTATAATACAATTTGATAGACAATTAAATTGTGCATCTGATTCACGTAAAATATACAGGGTGTTCTATTTAAATTAAACAAGTTTTTGCCGTTTATAGCTATCAATTATTTAATATAAATTTTTGGACACTCCGTATAAGGTAGTACAATTTTTATTATTGCAACACAATATCTGATCAATAAATAATCTTCAGTAAATATTTAGTATTAAAAACTTTGATATCCTTCGAGAAATGAAGCCTTAAATTTTTTACTGCAATTTCACCAAATTGGAGATATTTCAAAAACGGTAAGGTTAAAGTGTGATAAACCTTAATCAAATTTACCTTTATTTCAATCGTAGAATCTGAAAATAGAATAATATACATGGTGTTCCATTTAAAAAAATTCAACTATAATATTTTTTACTTATTTGGGACACTCTGTATCTTGTAAAATTATTTTTAAATTGTAGCTCTAATAGTCCTTCAACGAACCCAAAACTTACAATTTGTGAAAATATAATCGTTTAGCTACAATACTCCGTGTCGTATGTGATGAAGAACCCTGTATAAAGTTTAACTGTTACCCAATATCCAAAAAAATAAGATTATTATTAATTATTACCTTTTATTATCCCAGAAGAAAAGCTCCATCCTGTAGATTAACACCGTTTTGTTCCTGTATAACCACACAAACGACTTCCCTATAAGGCAAAACATAAAATAAATTAACTAATTAAAATAATTAATTTTAAAGTTATCGATATTTTTAGCGGGGATCGATACAAATCTAGGCTATTTCGCACAAACAAGATAGCCTAGATATCATCGATCGACAATATCGATAGCATCGATATTGTCGATCGATGCTGTCCGCTGCGCGCTGTAATTTCATCGCGTTGCCATGAAATCCTGACGCGAAACAAATACACTGACGCGTCGCAGTTTTGGGTTAAAAATTCGTCAAGAAAATTATCAAAATAACGCAAATACATAAGTATTTCGCTAAACTTACCCCATTAGTAGACATATCCGGCTACTAGGATGATAATTTTATATAACAAAATCACTACGCGCAAGTATTTCCACGAAAATATCGAAAAAAGAACACGAAATATTTTTTGACAGGACTCTAGCCTGGTTGCTTGTTCACCACTGGCAGAATTATGAAATTTTGTAGTATGCTGTGATGAATTGACAACAAATTGAAGTTACGATATTAGAACAGACAGATGTGATTGACGATTTTTAGGTACTAAAGGAATTTTTAATGAAAGTATTGTTACAGTAAGTAAATATTTTTAGAATAGGTAATAATTATAGGGTTTTTAATAAAAAGAACATTTGTATTATTCGACTTGAGAATGTTATTTAATAAATATTATTGCGGAAATATGCAAAATCCGATTTTCCTATCAAAATTTTCCCGAATTTTAGATGTTTTTCGTTCAGAACCTTAAAAAATATACCGGGTGGCCAATTAAGTATGGTTGTATCTCAGAATCTACTTATATAAATTGCTGATTATTTTCGAGTTCGAAAAATCTCAGCTAGGGCGCAAATGTGAAGCTCTATCCGAAAACGACATTTTTTCTTAAAAATATGCACATTTTACAGGGTGGTCCGAATTGTATACGGGAAACTTTGCCAGCATATTCTGCAGATAAAAATGAGTAAAAAAGTTGGTGTAAATTTATTTTCTAAAATGCTTAGTTTTGGAGATACAGGGTGTTGAATTTTCATTTTTATTTCGATTTTAACCCAATAACAGTTAATTTCTGAACCAATGTAAATACCTATATGGATAAAAATCGGTGTCTGGGTGTTTTTTGCCATGAGAAATTTGATTTTGTTGGCAATATGACTCCTACTTGTAGAGGGCACCACCTACATATTTTTCAACAAGTTTGAAGATTAATAACTTTTCGTCCGTACCTGTATAAAACTACTGAGTAAAAACATATACATTTTCCTCATTTTTTACCTTAAAAATGTCTCTTGGTAAAAATCGCTACGAGCAACCGTTGTCAAGATATTTAGAATGAAAATATTCAATACATGTCATTATTGACAAAAAATAAACATGTTGAGTAGGTAATTATTTGACTGAAATAGTAAATTTGTTCTCGTCAAGTCCACGTGGACTCTCTGCCGCGTGTATATACAGTATGTCCCCGGATTGTCTTTACAAGAAGAAAAACTTTTTTATTATTGAAATTTTGAGAAAAATGCATTATTCATAAAAATTTGCTTGTTCTAAATTGGTTAATTCCGTTTCTACTTTTCCAAATCTTCATCAAGTCTTAAAAATCAAAAAGGCGTTTCTATGGTAATATAACTTCGTTTTCATTATTTGATAGAATGTAGTTTAATGTAAAGTTTTTTGTTGTTTTAAAATGTTAAAGAAGCACATAATTTATTTAGTTTAATGCTACGGAAAAGGTTATGATAAGTAGTTATAGGAAAATATCATACTTTAATCCTTCAATAAAATACCAAAGAATATGACATTTAGCCATAATGTCACGATTCTTCAGACATGTAGAGACGACGAAGAAGAAGAAGATGACATTAATCAAAATTAATAATAAGCATCTATCAAATAATGAAATCGAATTGATATTACCATAGAAACTAAAACATTTCTAGAACTTAGAAAAACTTCAACCATATTTTCATTTTGAACAACCAATTGGACATTTTAAAACAAGCAAATTTTTTTATGAAGAATGCATTTTTCTCAAAATGTCAATAAGAAAAAAGCTTTTCCTCTTTTAAAGACAATCCGGCGACATACTGTAGGTAGCGATCTATAAAATGTATTCGTATTTATTTAAATGTGTTTTGTAGTAAATTGATCATACTCCAATATCGTGTCTGCATTCTTCAAATTTCTTTCATAGACACAGATCCAGTGGACGTACTTACTAACGAGAAACCCTATAAAACACACGAAAATGAGACACCCTGCACAGACAGACCATACTTTATATTTAATAATCAATAATAAAATTAACAATTTTTGTTTTTAATATCTAGTTATCCACAGTCGTTCCTATTGCTGGATTTGGAATAATATTCAAAGACTTCTTTGCAAGTTTTGGAGATGAAACCAGAGGAATCACTTTGACCAATAGTATCTTTAACACAGTGAGTTTCTTCATGGGTAAAAAAACCAAATCCATTATACATTGCGATTTACTCTAATAATTTTTATTGTTACAGGATTGGTAACAAATATTTTATTAATAAAAATCTCATACAGAAAAGTGGCACTTCTAGGATCAATGTGTCATATTATTGGTACAGTTGGAACCATTTTTATAACAAATCTGCCAGGATCAATTTTGTTTATTGGAATATTTCAAGGTAATTTACAGAGTGTTTTAATTATTCTTGAATATACAGGGTTGTTCACCACATACGACACGGAGTATTGTAGCTAAACGATTAGATTTTTACAAATTGTAAGTTTTGTGTTCGATGAAGGACTATTAGAGGTACAATTTAAAAATAATTTTACAAGATACAGAGTGTCCCAAATAAGTAAAAAATATCAAAGTTGTATTTTTTTAAATGGGACACCCTGTATATTATTACATTTTTAGTTTCTACGATTAAAATAAAGATAAATTTGATTAAGATTTAAAAATGGTATAATACAATTTGATAGACAATTTAATTGTGCATCTGATTCTCCTAAAATATACAGGGCATTCCATTTAAATTAAAGAAGTTATTGCCGTTTGAAGCTAATAATTATTTAAAACAAATTTTTAGACACTCTGTATAAGGTAGTATTATTTTTATTATTGCAACACAATAACTGATCAATAAATAAACTTCATTAAATATTTAGTATTAAAAACATTGATACCCTTGGAGAAATGAAGCTTTAAAATTTTTACTGCAATTTCACAAAATTGAAAATATTTCAAACACGGTAAGGTTTAAGTATAATAAACTTTAATTAAATTTACCTTTATTTTAATCGTAGAAACTAAAAATGTAATAATATACAGGGTGTTCCATTTAAAAAAATACAACTTTGATATTTTTTATTTATTTGGGACACTCTGTATCTTGTAAAAATATTTTTAAATTGTAGCTCTAATAGTCCTTCAACGAACCCCAAACTTACAATTTGTAAAAATCTCATCGTTTAGCTACAATACTCCGTGTCGTATGTGGTGAACAACCCTGTAGAACCACAACGTATTTTTGAAATCAAAATAGTAGTAAATAATATATATATAACATAGCTAATTGGACACAATTTTTGGACATCTGTGCAAATGTGCTTTGTTTGACCGTTAGAGAGCATCAAATATCAAAATAAACACTTTTAAGATATACGAGCAACGGCCCAACTACGTCGAAACACCGTCGAAAACCTACATCGAAACACCTACATAATTAGAACACCGAAGTTAAGCGACATAAGGCGATACTAGTGGATGGACGGGTGACCGGTTCGAAACTCTGTATCGTGCTGTTGTCCAATAAAGGCAAAAGTGTAAAATCTATTGACACACACTGCTCATTCACGCCGGTTCGAGGCCGGATGAGACCGGATATCTCGTAACACACAATATCCGCAGGATATTCATAGAATGTCGGAATGTCCCATTATAAGATCATCTTATAAAGACAACTATAGGATATCCTCCAGACATCCTGAAATCCTGTAGATGTCTCAGAATAGAATATCCTATGGATATCTCTGTCGTATATCTAATGTACATCCAGCTGAGATATCCAAACATGCTCATGATAATAAAATATCCTAACAATATCGTCTAGATATTTAGGAAAAATAAATAATGTACTACTTTTTATATTACATAAAATGCAATAAACCATACAGATAGATATATATATATATATTACGTCAAGGCAACAAAATATCCTGTTGGTATCTTCTGGATAATCTGGATATTTATGAGGTTGGCCACTCCCAGTAATACAGAGAATTTAAAACGCCCGCGCAAAAAATTTCCCACAGTCCATCTCGACAGTTGTTTAGTTTTGATGGTTTTTGCATCGTGTATTATTCAGTTCTTTGATTTAGTGAAATTCGAGGTGAATTCGGTCGTTTGTCGATATTGGATGGGCTTAAAAATGACTGAAACTAACAAAACTGGTTGAGTTTGACTTAGTTTTTTTCTTATACTCATAGTTCTAGCCTTGTTCTAGCAGAAATTCTATCCTAACCTCAACTAATGTCGAAAAAACGACGAACAACTCAGGTTCTCACAATGAAGAATTTGTGACAAAATTATAGGTGAAAATTTGTTGAAAATCGCTTGTTCTTTATCTCTAAACCCATTTTCGTGTTTGATCTATTCAAACAGAAATCCTATTTTTGGGTTTAAATTGTGAGTTTCTGGAATGTGTGGTGTTAGAAATTATACCTGTATCCTGTGTGCTAACTTTGATGTAAACTGTTGCTGCTAGCTCTGCTGCTAGACATAAACTGCTAAACTCCATAAAGGGTAGTATAATCTGGTATAATACCATACGATCGAAAAAAACGGCGTCAGAGGTGGCTTGGAAATGAAGATTGCTGTTATTTTGTACGTAAAATTATATGGGGAATGTCATCGATCGTAATTTTCAAGCCAATTGAACGCCGTTTTTTTCGATGGTACAGTATAAATTGAATGCTCTTAACTCAAACAAATAAACTTCTAAATTTTGACGCAAAATTCATTGACATAATATGTAGGTATATTTTAGAGCTGTTAATTGCTGTCCTGCATTCGCGAACTTCTAGTTCCAGGCTTTACGCCCAGACAAAAAAATGTAGTAGATATTCTCTCTCTCTCTCTCTCTCTCTCTCTCTCTCTCTCTCTCTCTCTCTCTCTCTCTCTCTCTCTCTCTCTCTCTCTCTCTCTCTCTCTCTCTCTCTCTCTCTCTCTCTCTCTCCTCTCTCCTCTCTCCTCTCTCCTCTCTCTCCCTCTCTCCTCTCTCCTCTCTCCTCTCTCTCTCTCTCCCTCTCTCCTCTCTCCTCTCTCCTCTCTCCTCTCTCCTCTCTCCTCTCTCTCCTCTCTCCTCTCTCCTCTCTCCTCTCTCCCTCTCTCCTCTCTCCTCTCTCCTCTCTCCTCTCTCCTCTCTCCTCTCTCCTCTCTCCTCTCTCCTCTCTCCTCTCTCCTCTCTCCTCTCTCCCTCTCTCTCCTCTCCTCTCTCCTCTCTCTCCTCTCTCCTCTCTCCTCTCCTCTCTCCTCTCTCTCCTCTCCCTCTCTCCTCTCTCCTCTCTCCTCTCTCCTCTCTCCTCTCTCCTCTCTCTCTCTCCTCTCTCTCTCTCTCTCCTCTCTCCTCTCTCCTCTCTCCTCTCTCCTCTCTCCTCTCTCCTCTCTCCTCTCTCTCTCTCTCTCTCTCTCCTCTCTCTTCTCTCTCTTCTCTCTCTCTCTCTCTCACTCTGTCTTTATTCCTAGAGGAATGTAGTGGTCAGGTGATGTGTGAGGTTTGTCTCCATAATTCCCTGTTTTGTGCAAGCGTGTGCAGTGTATGTACAAGCGTGTGCAGTGTCTTGTGCGTGATCTTTGATAGCTGGTCTATCCATCGGGAGGGCGAGCGGCCTCTTGGTCTTCTTCCCGGAACCTTGCCCTCTATAATGAGTTTTTCCATACAGTCAGTATCCCTCCTCATAACGTGACCGAAATATTTAAGTATACGTGACTGTATAGAAGTTGAGAGGCGTTCTGTGATGTTCAGTTCTTGGATTATGGATTCATTGGTTCGCCGGGCAGTCCAGGGAATTCTGAGCATTCGTCGCCAACAGTACATCTCAGTTGCGTCAATTTTTTTCATTTCTGACTGTCTCATCGTCCAGGACTCGGAGCCATACATTAATATAGGAAATATTAGGCAGTGAACAAGCCTTTTTTTTAAGTGTTTAGATATGTGTTTGTCTCGCCATATAGAGTTTTCGCACTGCCACTCTTGTCATTTCACAGTAGTAGATACTAGAAGGACTATTTTACGAAAAAAAAATCGATCGTCTGTTGAGTTGGAAAATATTTGTATTAAAATTTATGTAGGGGTAGGGGTAGTTTGGTTTTCACCCTTCCTGTACTTTTTCTTGAAACTTGTGAAAATCAAATGTTAAAGGACTTAGCAAGACGTAGACACCCAAAATCTCATTCAAACCAGAATAACGGTTCTCAAAATATCTAAAAAAATGTGTTTATTTTTTTAAAGTTTGATGCCCTCTAACGGAAAAACGAAGCACTTTTGTATAGAGGTAAATTGTGTCCAATGAACTTAATTTGATTCTAAAAATACGTAGTAGTTCTATGTCCACGGAATATTGGAACACCCTGTTATAAACCCAAGCGGTTGACTTAAAAAATATTCTGTCAATGTCTGTCGAAATCTTCCCTGAGTTGTAAAACAGAATATAGTCATATATCAACGGAATACTGTGACACCCTGTATAATTAATATCCACGTATGATCTTATAAGGAAACTTAAGACGTTCCAAAGTATTTGTGAAGCTTGGTCTATATTAATTTTGGATCTGACGGTGCGGGATATCCGCGAGATGATCACACAATATCGCGGAGAATGTTAATGAAATTTTACTGAACTCTGATATGCAGATTAGACAGGCACTGTATAATCTTATTTAGAGCTCTTCAACACCATATTGCAATTCAGTTTAATAAACATAAGATATTTTTCTCATATACAGGGTGTCCCAATATTTCGTGGACACAGAACTACTACGTATTTTTGCAATCAAAATAAGTTAATTCGACTCTATTTACCTCTATCCAAAAGTGCTTCGTCAATCAAACTTTAAAAAAGTAAACTCATTTTTTTTTAAGAACAGTTATCCTGATTTGAATGTAATTTTGGGTGTTTTTTTGTCAGACACATAGTAGAAAGTGCCTCTAATAAAAACCTATTAATAAACTGCAAGACTTGCAAGAGTCTTGCAGTAAGACAAAGACTCCTGATTAACTGCAAGACCAAGACCAAGCCACAAGAGTCTTGGTCTTAGTCTTGCATTTGTTCATCACTAATTCTATGTTATAAGAAAAACTAATCTTAAAAGCTACTGTAACATTTTTTAGGAATGGGATTTGGCTTATTGCAACCCGCAGCCCTATCAGCTTTCAACGAGTATTTTGACAAGAGACTACAATTGTGGATAAGCATATCACAAACAGGTACAGGTTTCATCGAAAAATATACAAATAAATACAAAAATCAAAACAAATGATGTATTAAATATTTGTTTTTTTAATTACCAGAATTATTTAATATTTTACTATCAGAATCAGAATATAAACGAAAATAAAATAAAAAAGTCTTTGTCCTCGCCCGGATTCGAACTCTGAATCATCGGTTCGTGGTTGGAAACTCTACGGACTGCGCTATGGAGCCATGTTCGATTTATATTCAATACTAGAATTTAAAGGACTAATAAAAATATAGGATCTTCTTTCAATGAGCAGTAGGGAACGCAATGGGTATCAGCCAGACGGGCTGCATGCTGTTCCAGAGAGCATAGTAAAAGGTATATCAAAGAGCCAGACGTCTTAAAATACTTTCTCGAAAACGTTGGTACCCATACAGCACGTCCAAATGAAATTACGTTTCTACAAGGGAGACACATGAGAAACCAAATATGTTAAAGTGAACCTAAGTGTTCATCTAGTTCTAACATATACATATGAGATACACGCAGGTTTTTATTGATAGAATTGTGTGATACAGTGTTTACTAGTTGTATACCGTATGCACTCAAGGTTCTAAAGAGTTTTTTGTAACGTAACAAATAATTATTAAAATGATGAAATCTGACGTCGGTATATGAGACATACAATGTATAAGTCATATGTATGTGTGATACTTCGTGTCATAGTTGAGCCTATAGTACACACCTTGTTAAAATGTGACGTATACACATAATATAAATATCTATATAGACACTTTGTAATAGTGTACTGTTGTGTCTACATTCTAGCATGAAATGAAGGTGTGCGCACGCGCGGACAGCCTCAGCGTAGATACACCGACCAAGTGTATCTTATGTGTCCTCTCTCCTTTCTCCTTTCTAGGAGTGGTATGTGTTAGCGGCCATTATTGTTTTATCATTCGGAAGCTCTATATAAATGTTCTGTTTGTGTGTAGTTTAAAAGAGATTTTAAGGTAAGCACAAGTTTTTAATTACCTTGTTACACCTTCCTAAGAGTATTATTAATATTATAGCAGCGACTCTTCCCTTACTCGATACCCAATTTACCAAATTTTGACTCCAATGAATGAAAACTCCAAATATTCTCGTATAATGATAAAGAGGTTAGCTCTGCAATATAATTTTTTTTAATTTGGAAATATTAAAAATCTACATGGACCAGAGAAAGAAAGATTTAATCACTTCAAAGAACTTCTTACACTGATTCGGTAAGTTGTTGATGGATCAATATACATATATGTTTAATATTCAATAATCAGTTTCATATAAAATTTAAGGGTGAGATTGTTAATCTGGAAATAAAAATACAACAAAAATCCAACAGAGTGCTCGATGAATGAGTATGGTAACAAACCAACTGCTTGGAAACGAGGTCCACCAAATCGTGGCGATATACCAATGTTTACCATTTTAGTATGTTGTTATACTAGGTACTTATATTTTTAATACATTTTGATACAAATTCTGTTCTTTTACAGTGTTTTCTTACTTCTGGTTCCTGCAGTGTAAATAATTATTATTATTGTGTTATTTGCGCTATTGCGTTCCATGATATAAAGAAATATAAGAATTTTATTTTTTAACCACTTAGTCCATTTTATGGAAGAAAATGGTACATTTAATGTAAAACAAAAATGGAACAATTTTAAGGCTACTTCTCTTGAACTTACGATCGAAATACTTTTGGAAAATACAAAGTTTTGCCTTCCTAATTTTCGTTCTAAAAAGATATAATTGGTATTATTGAATAAATATTTCTTAAAAAGAACGAAATGTTAGGCATCAAAACTTGTATTATTTCCTAAATTTGTTCATAAGAAGTAGTTTTATCTAGCACAAGATGTATATACGAAGCAAAATACACACGTATACACGCAGTAGTCACAACTGCAATGTGTAAACAGAGTTTAAACGTAATACACAAGCACTGTGTATCCTACGGCACACTGTGTATCCTTTACTTTGTGTATACGTAAATGCTATACTGTGGCTACATTGTGAGGCGGACGTTTAACCTTTGTGCATACGTGTTGAACTACAATGTGTAAACATATTATATTTACATCGGGGAAATTGTGTCACCCTGTGTTTACATCTAATAATGTAAACACATCGTAAATGTGATTTGATGTGCTGTATGGGTAGCTCTTAGACTAGTATATGAGAATGAAAACGAAATTATATTACCATAGAAACGCGAAAAAAATCAATTATATTCTCATGTTTTTTTTTATTTTTTTCTTAAGCAATATGGAAATTTGGAAAAGTATAAACGGGATTAACCATTTTAGAAGAAGCAAAAATTTTTATGAAGAAAGCATTTTTCTCAATATTTCAATAATAAAAAAGTTTTTACTCATATAAAGATAATCCGGGGACATACTGTATATCGTAGATAGTGGATATCATAAATTATGTTTTCGTTTGATAAAATTAATGTTACTATAATAACGACTAATAGACAATTATCCTTGTAGGTATGGTAATAGGTTACATGTCCATGCCATTCTTCTCCACCTGGTCACTAAGTTTCTTTGGCTTCAGAGGAACGTTACTGGTTCTAATGGGTCTGAGTCTGTTAACTCTTCCAGTGGCTTTGACACTGCAACCTGTAAAACAACATTTGAAAATGATAAGAATCCATGAAGATATCGGTATATTGTATACATTGGCACTAATTTGTCCAAATTCAATAAGTAAATCATATTTTAGAAATGCTATATGCAAACTCTGATGATGATATAATTAAGACAAAGATGAATAAAGAGCTTCCTGAAAACGATGATAATGAGGAATTGAAATCAGAAAAACAAACAATATGGTAAGTAATAAAGTAATGTTTATAATATACAGGGTGAGTTTCCTACGATGTTCTCTATGAGTATCTCGGAAACTACTGGAGATAGAGAGTCGATTAAATGGGGAAAGAATTGCAGTTTTGTGGGGTCATAAATATGCGCCTTTTAGATTTTTGAAAAAGTTCATGGCTTACTAGATACTTCGAAAAAAACAAATTTCGGCTATTTTAAAAATTGTCTCTAATTCCATTATAAACTGTTTTAGACAAAAAGTTTTCAGATAGAAGTTGTAGATAATCACATCCTTAATGAGATTGTGTCCTCCGTTTTTTTCTAAAGCCTGTAATTTTTGACATATGACACAAACATATTTTTTTTAAATGGAAACCATAGTTGGCCATGACTTCATAAAATGCGCCATTTTTTAAGCTTTTCAGCGATATAAGCTATAATATGTTTTTTTTTCGAAAAATGACTGAGTTATATTCAATTCTTATAATTTTTAAACAATTTCACTTAGTTAGCCATGGAAACAAGTATAATCGTCTTTGCTCTCAGAAATGTGAAGCTGTCACATCCAAACTTTGTAAATTAAAATAAACAAAAATTGTAAATATGAATTTTTCAAATGAAGAAAAGCGTGTAGGATTATTGGTTCAACTTTTCTTGACCATACATTTTCGAGAATACGTTGACCGGTGAATGTTGCGTTTTTTTAGAGAACGGTTTTCAAAACAAGAAAAGTTAAATTTAGTTATAGCCAATTCTTATCTTTCTTGGCTAATTTCACTTAGATTGCATGGTATTCTTATTCTGTTATGATTTATAACTTATAAAAAGTCAGAATATATTATTAAACGGTTCTTTACAATTTACATTACACAAACTAAAACTTAAAAAAATAATATCACTACATACAGTTTAAGTTATTTTTGAAAATGTTAAAAAAATCCGCCATTGTTTTGAGTTGAATCTTTTGAAAACTGAATTACTATCTATTCTCACATAAGGACCGGTCGACTTAATTAAACTTCTCTCGTGCCGCCACTTCGAGTGCCTCTCTTAATTCATAATTTTTTTTTGTAAACCTTATTGCTAACCATACCGCATAAAAAATCTAAAGTGGATAGGTCAGGTGATCGAGGAGGCCCATGCAATTGCATAATTATGATATAAATAATTTTTAACATTTCTTTCATTATGGGGGAAGGGGTCATAATGAAAGTCATGTTGGAACCGGTTGGAACCACTCTATTGATGCGCGAGCATCTACACGCTTTTCTTCATTTGAAAAATTCATATTTACAATTTTTTACAAAGTTTGGATGTGACAGCTTCATATTTCTGAGAGCAACGGCGATTGAACTTGTCTCCATGGCTAACTAAGTGAAATTGTTTAAAAATAATAAAAATTGGCTATAACTCTATAAAAAACATATTATAGCTTATATTGCTAAAAAGCTTAAAAAATTGCACTTTTTATGAAGTCATAGCCAACGATGGTTTCCATTTAAAAACAACGTATGTTTGTATCATATTATGTCAAAAATTACAGGCTTTAGAAAAAAGCGGAGGAGACAATCTCATTAAGGATGTGATTATCTACAACTTTTATTTGAAATTTTTTTGTCTAAAATAGATTATAATGGAATTAGAGACAATTTTTAAAATAGCCGAAATTTGTTTTTTTCGAAATATCTAGTAAGCCATGAACTTGTTTGGGCCGAGAGCTAATTACTCCGAACCAATGGGCACTTACCCTAGTATCCTACAGGCAGAAATCTACGCTATCGAGAGATGCGTACAACTTATCTTAGATAGGAACTATCGGAAACAAGAAATAGCCATCTTATCTGATAGTCAAGCAGCGTTAAAGGCGATCAACTCAGTATCAATCAATTCGAAATTGGTCAAAGAATGCATAGAGAAGCTGAATAAATTAGGCAAAGAAAACAAAGTCCTCCTACACTGGGTGCCTGCTCACCAAGGGATAGAAGGCAATGAAAAAGCAAATAATCTAGCTAGGAAAGCAGCGAACACTCCACTAACTGAACCAGAACCGTTCTGCTTTCCAAGTGGTAACCAACTCAAGGCGGAACTCAAGAACTTGGAAGATTCCATCCGCAACCTGGAATGGAAATTTTCCAATGGTCTAAGACACTCGAAGAAGTTTCTGAGGGCTTATGATGAAGAAAAATCACAGATCTTCCTGGGTCTGAGTAAGAACAATCTTCGGATTGTCACGGGGTTTTTAACAGGACACTGTCTCCTCAACGAACACCTCAGTAGATTGAAACTAAGAAGAAACGGCGAATGCAGATTCTGTGGGGAAGATGGGGAAACACCAGTACACCTCATCACTGAGTGCGCCGAGATGACAACCATTCGTGCCATGAATTTTGGTACGACTGATATTGGAGATGGAGAACTACCCTCTATAAAACCGTCCCAGATACTGGCTTTTGTCAAAGCCCTGGGACTGTATGATGAGTTATGATTCAAGAAAGGGGGACACAATGGATCTGTAAGGTCGAAGTGATTAACCCCCCTCCCACTCATTCTAAATTCTAAAAAAAATTCTAAAAGCCATGAACTTTTTCAAAAATCTGAAAGGCGCCTATTTATGACCCCACAAAAGTGCAATTCTTTTCCCATTTAACCGACTCTCTATCTCCAGTAGTTTCCGAGATACACATAGAGAAGATCGTAGGAAACTCACCCTCTATAATGGTCCACTTCTTTTTCAACAGCCATCAGATTAGAAACTCTTTCGGACTATTAATGGACCCCAAATACCTCAACCTTTCCATTGGATTGGCACTGTGTTTCACTGCCGATATAGCCTTCTATCCAATCATCCCTTTGGTACTGGCCCATTTGAACTACACCAATTCTGAAATAGCTGCAATGATGAGCGTGTACTTTGGAGCTGATTTGTTGGCCAGAATTGGACTGTCCCTTGTTTCGGTTTGCGTGGTTTACAAGAGCAGAAGATTGTTTTACGCGGCGGCACTTTTGAGCAGCATTTTCAGGATAGGTAAGTAGAAATAAATTTTAAAAAACTCTCTACTGTTTTGTGAGAAGTGATTATAGTAATTTAAAAAATCCATTTACCTATAGAATCGTCCCTAATGGGTGGTTTAGACTGTAGATTTTGCACAAACTGGTTTGTGCAAGCCATTTTATACCAAATATACACTCAGATGCAAAAGAATACAAAACAACATTTTTTCGTCAAATTTTTAAACTGTTATATTTTTTTTTTACTTTTTCTCTTATTTTCATAATTTTTTTAGCAAACTGTATATAATTCTATCAACTTTAATTATTCATAAACTCAGCTTTTTATAAACTTTAGTATCTGGCTTATTATACAGGGTTGTTTTTTATCTTAACTTTAAAACATATTGATAATTAAAGAAATTGCAAAATGCTTGAGGCAAGTTAATTTTGCTTTTAAAAATTAACAAAGGCATGTGTTGACATGAAACAAAAACCACAATATTCAGAAGATATGGTTCTGACCGAAAAATAATGTTTTCCGTAGCGATTTTATGCATCTGAGTAGAATTTTTTTTTTAGAATTTAGAATGAGTGGGAGGGGGGTTAATCACTTCGACCTTACAGATCCATTGTGTCCCCCTTTCTTGAATCATAACTCATCATACAGTCCCAGGGCTTTGACAAAAGCCAGTATCTGGGACGGTTTTATAGAGGGTAGTTCTCCATCTCCAATATCAGTCGTACCAAAATTCATGGCACGAATGGTTGTCATCTCGGCGCACTCAGTGATGAGGTGTACTGGTGTTTCCCCATCTTCCCCACAGAATCTGCATTCGCCGTTTCTTCTTAGTTTCAATCTACTGAGGTGTTCGTTGAGGAGACAGTGTCCTGTTAAAAACCCCGTGACAATCCGAAGATTGTTCTTACTCAGACCCAGGAAGATCTGTGATTTTTCTTCATCATAAGCCCTCAGAAACTTCTTCGAGTGTCTTAGACCATTGGAAAATTTCCATTCCAGGTTGCGGATGGAATCTTCCAAGTTCTTGAGTTCCGCCTTGAGTTGGTTACCACTTGGAAAGCAGAACGGTTCTGGTTCAGTTAGTGGAGTGTTCGCTGCTTTCCTAGCTAGATTATTTGCTTTTTCATTGCCTTCTATCCCTTGGTGAGCAGGCACCCAGTGTAGGAGGACTTTGTTTTCTTTGCCTAATTTATTCAGCTTCTCTATGCATTCTTTGACCAATTTCGAATTGATTGATACTGAGTTGATCGCCTTTAACGCTGCTTGACTATCAGACAAGATGGCTATTTTTGTTTCCGATAGTTCCTATCTAAGATAAGTTGTACGCATCTCTCGATAGCGTAGATTTCTGCCTGTAGGATACTAGGGTAAGTGCCCATTGGTTCGGAGTAATTAGCTCTCGGCGCAAACACTCCGATCCCTGTTCCCGTATTGGTTTTGGAAGCATCAGTATACCAAGTTATGGTATGGTCTTTTAACTGCTGGGCAAGCGTTCCGCTCTTCCAATCCTTCTTATTGCTCAATACTACATTGACATGTTTGTCAAAGTTGTACGTTCTTGGCATATCGTCCACTGAGAGTTGCAGGAGTGGTATTTCCTTTTTGAGGGTGTTCCAAGCCCTTGATCTGACAATTCTCCCAGTACTGATTCCGTTAGTGACCATTCTAATCATTGTCGCATTGGCATATCTACCAATGACAATGTGCAGTGGTGTTAGATCTAGAATGACCTCCATTGCTGCTGTTGGACAGGTTCTCATGGCTCCTGTGATGCAAACACATGCTAGTCTCTGGACTTTGCATAGGTTTAGCCTTGCCGTCCGTTGCTCTAGTTTTGTGTACCAGGCAACTGCTCCATAAGTAATCATGGGTCTTACTATCATGGTATACATCCAGCGCATAATGTTAGGGGAGCAGCCCCATCTATTTCCGGCCAGTCTTCTGCATATCATGAGAGCCTTTATGGCTTTGCTGGTAATGTTCTTAATATGTCTTTTCCACAGGAGTTTACTGTCCAGGGTTATTCCCAGTGCATCTGAGTAAGAATTTACCAATTTTTTTATCTATAAATAAAAAATGACTAATCTAATTTCAGTAGCAGGATTTGAATCAACGACTTTTAAGGGCCCCATTCACGTTGAGATCGGTATCGATACATGTTGCAAGTATCAGTATCTTGACACAAACATCACAGTGTATTTGTCTGTCTCAGTATCGCTGTATCGGTATCGGATGGTATCGCCGTCTGTATCAATGTAGTGAAACTTCGATACCAAACGCATGCAACTGATATTTGTCGCAACGTGTATGTTGATGTTATTATGTATCGCGATACCAAAATATTGTCAAACAGTGTCATTTCCACTCGTTTCCGACATGGAAGATCGTGAGTTTTGGGAGGAATTTTTGAATTTATATAAATTATATCCGTGTTTGTGGAACTCAAAATGCCAAGAATATTCAAATAGACAACTTAGAGAATTAGCAATGACAGTTTTGGTGAACAAGTGCAAGGAAAAGTATGCTAATAGTGATCTTAGTTTTGTCACTAAAAAAATACATAGCTTTTTCATCTTTTTTTCTTTTTTGAAGTGCCTAATAATACAAATGCCACTGCTACAAGCACGGGCATGGCAGGCAGCACCATTTTGTTTTCAATTTGAACACTGATGTTTCCTGATTCCGTCTCAACGTGTAGGAATCTTTGAAACATGGATACAAATCTCAGATACATGTATCGCTTCCTGTCGCGATACACGTATCGATACCGATCTCAACGTGAAGGGGGCCTTTTAGAATGGTAGACAATAAGAGTTCAAGTTAGGTACTATCTATCAATTAACTATTAATGACGATTAATTTGTTATTTACAGGGTGGCTCACGTACGACTCCTTCTGGTGGAAAACTGTAATAATGGCCGTGTTGGGTACGCTGCGTTGCTTCATAGAAACTCTTGTATCATTGGTAATATCTGAAGAATATCCAGACAGATTTTCATCGGCATTTTCTTTATATATGGTAGCCAATGGCAGTACCTGTTTGATATGCGGAGCAATAATGAGTAAGATCTGTTCACTATAGGTATTTTAATAATTCTCTTAATATATAGTCTGTCCAACGAGAAGATATATGACAGTGACAGTTGTGTCTGTCATTTTTCGGATGTCATCTGGCGGAATCTTTCGTGAATCGTTGGACAGACTATAGATGTATGATCGAAAACTACTATACTTTATGAACGAAAAAAACGGTGTCAAAGACGACTGGGGATATCGATGATAATTTTCGATGACAATTTTATGCCTAAAAATGACATAAAACTTGTCAAAAATGAACACTAATTGTAGAAAGATTAAAAACCTTTGGAAGAGAAAAAATGAAAGGGTCTGGAAAGGATAGAACCATAGATTTAGGAAGAATATATATTATAGCGTACTACGTTTAGCTTACGGTGTGTTTGAAGTCGGAATCAAGTCCGAAGTGAACTTTTCAGTGTTTTTCAGTAGTTTTTGTTTTTGTTTAATGTACTTTTGAATCTGCGAATTTTCAATATGGTACGACAGTGTCAAATGTGTGGACAAATAAGCTCAAATTACCCGAATTTCGCTTTCCACAGGTAGGTATTGTCTCCGCCGCGCCGTAATCGTACATAGGCGTCCCACAAGGGAGCCTTTCACAATTAAAATAATTTCTAATTATATTTGTTGAATTTTGATCTACTAAAACAAGAACGTAGTAGCCGGTAATTGAATTATAATTTGTCTCAATTACTACCTAACTGTTGTACATCATAACAAATTTAAATATGAACGTTACATTTGAAACTTTATTATAAGCCAGAAAGTGACATTTTTTTCTTAAAATTGCGTCCTATTTTGGTCATTATAGGTTATTCTAAAGGAATTTTGCTCAATAAATAAACATAGGTGTTTACCCGTCCTTTTTTACATTTTATTGCTTTATTATATCTGCCCCTTTGGCCTTGTTTAGACAATTTTTTATCACCGTACAAATACATCTTCCTAGAGTTATTTGTACGGTGTGTTTAACTTTTTTTAGAATGGGACGAACTGTAAATAATTCTTAGGCTACTAGTTTTATACATACCTATATAGAGAGCGACCCAGGCCTCCAAAAAAGCTTTTTACCTATTACGTTTTTGGTTTGTGATTTTTATTTCAATTTTTTACATAAGATGGGGGCCATTGTAACGCACATTTTCAAAAAATTTTTGTCAACATACAGGGTGATTCAAACCGCAATACATATGCTTAATACAGTTCATGAAGATTAGGACATTTAACTAAAATTTGATTATCTGATGAAGCTACCTTTAAAAGTAATGGATTTGTAAATAAACGTAATAGGTATTCATTATTATGTGACAGAAATCCCATACTGTAGCACACAGATTTTATACTTTTAATGATAAATGCCTTCTATTGCGAGACTAAAAGGTAATTGCCTCGTATCAGAGCCATCATAATACAAGAACAAGACCGAAAGTCAAATCTTGTCTTATATTTTCAAAAAAAACACAATTTTCTCATTAAATATTGATTTTAGGTATAGGAAGTTATTAATAATACAAGATTAAACAACTATTACACAGTAGTTCACAGGAAGCTATCGATTGCGAACTAACTAAATCGTTACTAATTAGGTACTAATTTTGAAAAATTCCTTTTTAAGATAAAAAAGGTAAAACTAAAATCTAAACTATCATTTGAGATTAAACGGGAAGTTCTAAATAATGTTGCCTATTCTAAACAAGAAAAATTTATTTATAAGTTAAGTTTTATAACATTCCTAATTAAATTTGGGCGAAAAGAATATTTCTGTTTGCTGTAGGTAATTTTCTCAGGGAAAATACGTAAATAAAAATGACTTTTTAAGCCAAAAAAAGTCAAAAGGACAAGTTATTCCAAAAAAGGACAAGTGGCAACCCTAGATATTTCTGGAATGGAAATTTAATGGCAAATCTACTACTTTGGTTTGAAAAAATGTCTAAAATGTGCCTAAATGTCTCCATATTCTGAAAAAAAATTGAAAGAAAAGTCACTAACCACAAACCTAATATAGAACTGTTTCGGAAGCCTGAGTCACCCTGTAAATATTCAAAAGTAACTGAAAGTTTATATAGAAGTAACTGAAAGTTTAAATTGAAAATCGACGTTGGAGTGATTTTCGAAAACTACTAGCGTTTCAACATAAGTATATGTGGGATATTAATTGTATTATTATATTAGACCTTATAACAAAACTCATCTGACGAAAAAGTGTTAATGTAGTATATTAGAACAATCCAAATGCGCCTAGTTGCCGGGGTCGGAAATTTTAGACTTCTCTGTCTCTTCTGTCCTTGTTTGACACATTGGAATGTTTGATACACTACCAACGAGTATTTATGAATGAGATGTTCGGTCTATCTTTATAATGTCTTTGGATAGAACCTTTCCAGACCCACAAACCTATTTCCAAAATAATATTTTCTTTCGAATTTTAAACTACACCATTTAGAAATCATTTTTACACAATATAAAAATAAATTACAACCTCCTTAACAGACAGCTGGCAGTAATAAGCTTCATTAAAAAATCAAGAAGACGAGCCAAGAACTGACATGACGTCAGGCCTTTTTTGCAGAATCGATTGTCATTACCCCAGCCGTCTTTGATGCCGTTTTTTTTTCGATCGTACGGTATACACTTAATTTTTGTTAAAGCTTTGATAAAGAATATACAGATATTCTTATAATACTTATTAATTCCTTATAATTTCTTGCAGATTACATCAAATATTCGACAAGTAGTGACATTATAACCTGTCATGTCCTTACAGCTGCCTTTCTCATTAGCGTGACGTCATGGTCTGTAGAATGGTGCATTCGTGAGAAAAAGAAATAATTAAATATTAGATTTTATATTATTTTATATGAATTTAGGTAGAAAATAAAATAAACTAAAATTAACTTTTCACATTATATCGTTTTTCTTTAGAAAATAGCGTTAACATAATGTATTTTTTCTAAGATCTTGCAAATACTAGCTATTTTTTACTAATTAATAATTAATTCTAAAATTTCAACTATATTTTCATGATTTTTTTTAATTTTCTCTGCTTTATGAAGAACACATTTTTCTCAAAACGTCAATAGTAAAAAGGTTTTTCCTCTTGTAAAGATAATCCGGGGACATACTGTAGATTACACATTACCGTATTTAACAGCCTGTATTTTAATATTTGTTTGGTTCATGTCAAAATATAACGTCAGAAATCTTGACAATATGGTGAAGGTAACTTTCTTTGTGAGCGTTTTAAATTTACATCATGGTGTAAAAGATCTTTTTTTTTTAATAATATTTCTTTTGATTACAGTTGGGGGTTGGAATCTTTGGTGTTACAACAGCAAATTAAAACACTAAATCACCAGAATACACCAAAAACTTTTACTTTTACACTGGACGCGCGTTTCGCTAACCATGTTGGCATTATTAACAGATGATTAAAACGCAGTTTTGGTGTATTATTGTGATTTAGTGTTTTATTTTGCAACATTTATTAGGATTTAATGTTCCTCTATTCGATTATTCGGCGCCGTTTATCCAGCTATTTTTAATCACATTACTAAAGTGTGCCTAATGAGTCAAGGAATATTTCGCCAGACGCATATACACGCATCAGAAAAGTCTAGGGATATTACAAATTTATCCAGCCATCGTCAGTAATTTTATTATTTGCATTTCTGATATAATAAAATTAAAATAAACAAATAGTTTTTTTGGAAATAAAAATGCGAAATTTACCGAATTTTTTAAATTTACCTTGATTTTTATTGAACTCAAAAAAATACACACATTTTTTGTTCTTCTAAACTGTGAATTAAAAAAAAGATAAAACCATTTTTACTTAATAAAGGGTATGGCCTCCTCTACTATTCATTACAGCCCTACATCGTCTCTCCATGCTCCTGATCAGGTTGTCCATCTCTTCTTGATGTACAGCCTGCCACGCTGCATTCACGGCCCGAACCAGATCCCTACGAGTTTCACTCAAAAATTCTCAAAATTCTTTTTTGGACCGCGTCCCATACGTGCTCGATGGGGTTGAGGTCAGGAGATTGTGTCCGCAAGGGTAAGATGTTTAATTGATGAGCATTGATAAACTCATTTACCACTCTGGTTGTATGAGGCCGTGCATTGTCATGCATGAGAATGAAGTTTCTCCCAAAATCATTGGCATATGGTAACACCACAGGCTCAAGAATTAAATCACGATATGTGATTCCTGTTAGAAACCTTTCAAGAAAAACGAGATCGGTTTTTCGGCCTAACTGGACTCCTTGAACCATAACTGTTCCACCTTGATAAGGGTGCACTTCCTGAACATGATCCAACCGAATAAGATTCCCCGGTTCTCTCCATATCCTAAGCCTCCCTATCCGTGACTCATCCGTGAAGAGAACGTTGGCCCATTGTTCATTCGATTTATATATTTGACAAAAAATGCACGAACACTTCTGCAAATATCCCAAATTTAGAAATAACGAGTGTGACTACTTCGTTTCAATCGAAGTAAAAAGAATCGGCCTACAAATATGTGGTTGTTTATTCAAAACATTTATTTTTAACTTTAATAAAATAATATCCCTAGATTTTTCCGGTGTGTCTATATCGCCAGACGAATATATAAAAAAACAGTGGTGTTCTAAAAAACATTTATTTATCATCAAATAAAATTGTATCTATCAAAAGGTCAGTGTCTTCAACTGGTATTTCATCAACAATTTGTTCTTTTAAACCGATTCCAACTGTAGATATACCATTACTTTGATTAATTTGTAAATTTCTCAGGTATTTGTCATAGTATCCTCCACCATGTCCTAGACGATGTCCGTCTTTGGTAAATGCTACTCCTGGACAAATAACCAGATCCAAACCACCTAAAATAAAGTAACAATATACAGAGTGTAATCGCGTAACAATATACAGAGTGTATCGCGTAAACAAAGGATTGCCCAGCAATTGTGGGTCAGTTAAAAATCTTGCGTGGGTCAGTGGTCTAACCCACGGGTCATAGGTTCGCTATCACCGTTCTAGTATTTACTACATTTTTGTCTCTTGTAAAAATGTATTACGAAACTAGCTATTCAATTATTATCGAAACTGGCTGCAAAAATATGCTGATAACCTCAGCGTTCTAAGAAGTGCCTCGTCTTGCTGGAAAAATATGTTTTCGATTTCCATTAGGGGAAGATCATCAATAAGGGATCCTAAACCTCTAGTTAAACGCGGCGATTTTTTAAAAATTCTGTATTTAGAAGGGGACTATAACCAAAATATCAATTGTGTTATATTTTTGGGAAGGTAATTTTAAGTTATTTTCAGTTAATTCAAAATACACAAGGTGTCCCTAATAAAAATTCAATTTTTCTGTTGATAATCTTAGATTATTAATTTTAGAAAATCTATACATAAACCATTAAATTCTACGTAAAATTTTCCATAGCAAAAAAGTTACAGCGATTTGTAAAAAATGCATATTTTTGAAAAACATCCCGTAACTCCGAAACGGTGACAACGAAGCGTTCAATTTGACCCACCCTGTACAATTAACTAATTTTCATTCCAAAAAAAAAACGTAGTAGTTAGATAGTATATGTCCACAAAATATTGGGACACCCTATAGAGCTTTTTCAGAAAGCTGAATTACCCCTGTATACAATAATACCTGTTTCTAAAGCATCTTCACGATTTTCTTTCAATAAAGGCTGTTTTATATGCCACTTGGTCAATGGAAGATTCTCCCAATCTTCCATTGACAGCAACCTAACCATCTGCATACCAGATTTACTGTATCTAAAAAAATCAAAAAAAGTATCCTTATTAAAGTTTATTTTCACTATACCTTCCGTTTCCATTCCATATCCATTCCATATCCGTTCCGTATTTTTTATTGTATTGACGCTATACATAAGCTTCCGTTCCGTATCAGTTCCATACTTTTTGCTGTACAATTTATATTATTACGAAAGTTTAATTTTAAAAATTTGTATCTTTTGAAAAATGTAATAGATTTAATTCAGAGGTGAAAGAATAAAAATAAATATCAGCAAAATTTTAACAGAGCTGGTACAAATGTAAGGACTTGACAACGCTGTTTCCGATACGCTTCAGCCCGTCCGCCAAAAAAATGAACGGAAGGAAAGCATATGGAACGGAAGGGAAACGGAACGGATAGTGTGCATTGTCCTATTCATTTACATGATATAATATTTTACGTTAACGGAAGGGAAACGGAAGGGAACTGATATGGAAGGTATAGTGAGAATCAACCTTAAAAAAAAGACTCAAAGTTTCGGTATTTTTAGGGCTCCGTACCCAAAGGGTAAAAACGGGAACCCTATTACTAAGACTTCGCTGTCCGTTCGTCCGCCTGTCACAAAGGTCTATCTTATGTAGTGATTCCCACGAGAGTCTCGTATGGTCTCGTCTCGTTTTCGAGACGAGACTTGAGACGATACTCGGACAATACGAGACGAGACTTTTATTGGTCTCGTCTCGAGTCTCGTGCGAGACTTCTCGTGTCTTGTACGAGAGTCTCACAGGTGAACACTTGAAAAACCTTTACTTAAAAACCAACTTTTACTTAAGTTCCGAAGTGCGTGTGAAGCAACTGGTAATTCTCGGCAACTGACACCTGTGTTGGATGTACCTACACGCCGGAATTCCAGTGATGATATGTTGCAAGTAGCTCTTAAAGGCAGACATGGACTGGGTGTATTATGTCAAAATGTTGTTGATTTAAAACCATATGCACTTAGAGATGAAGAATGGATACTGCTAGAAGAAGTGCACAAATTATTAATCAACTTTCAAATACTTTCCAAAAAACTCGGAGGAGAGAAGTACACCTTACCTATGGTGGTTGTATGTATCAATATATACTAATAGATAATCTTGAGAGCAAAATATTTGCATGGGACAGAAAAACAAATCGAACCTCTGTTGAAGAGCAGCTTATTATTGGTTTTCAGGCTGCAAGAGACAAAATACTAAAGCATTATCGTAAAACGAACTGGATTTATGCTGCAGTTTTAATTCTCGATCCACGCCATAAGTTAGAAACGTTTGATATAACAAAATGGGATCAAGAATTAAAAGATAATTCGATTCTTAAATTTCAAGATATTTGTAAAGTCTATTTTCATCAATTAGAGGGACAACGTTCGACAGAAACAGCGGTGGCGCAACAAGGACGAGAAAATCCTGGACCTGAAAAATCGGACTTTGCAATTGATTTTGATGCCTTGTACGCAGTAAATCCTCCCCTGCCGAATGAGAATGGATGCAGTAGTTTCAAAAATACTATTCAATTCCCCGGTGTAATAAAGACACAGATATAAATAAAATAAATAAATAACGTCTTTATTTTTTACTCGGCGAAATTCAGCAGAGCTGTTAAGTTAACCGAGCATATAAAGAAGTAAATAATATAATACATTCTTAAAAAATAACATTCAAAGAAAAAAGAATTAGTAAGAAAAATGAAAATTAACAATATACTTTAGATAAAGAAAAATCAACAACTTAATAAGTTAAAGCAAAAACAGTAAAAAATGAAAATTGTTCCGTAAAGGATACAAAAATTAATAAATCAAATTATTGTGTAATTCTATATCCGCTCAACATATAAGTTTTTAATTTTGTTTTGAAAGTGAACGTCTTTAAATCAAGGGGAGTATAGATTCAAGTTGGAATTGTACATCTTGGTTGCCAGGTAGGAGAAAAGAACGCTGATATAGCGCCGTGCGATGTTTGGGAATTTCCATATTATTACACTGCCTTATAGCATAGTTAGAGTATCGAAATTTAAGTTTATTAGTTAAATACTCAGGAAAACCATTCCGCAAAATTCTGTGTAAAAACATGCAAAATGTAACTTTTGTCTGTCTTCAATATTTAGCCAATTCAACATATCTAGTTTATATGTAACATGGTCTCTCGATCTTAATCCGTATATTAAGCGAATACATGAATTCTGTACTTTCTGTAACTGTCTCTTAGATTTTTGATCGAGACAAGGCCCGTAAACAAAATTACAATAATTGGACTGTGATAATACAAGAGCCTCACATAATTGCTTTTTAATTTATAGTTTAGAAAATCTTTGTTTTTGTATAGGTTTCTTAAGGAGATGAACGATGCCCTGACCACTTTACTCACTTGAGATCTAAACCTCAACTGCGAGTCAAATATAAGTCCTAAATATTTTGATTCCCTTTCTACGGAGATAATCGAATCAGACATTTTTATTTTCATGTTCTGGGCCGCCCAGTTATTATTTGGTCCGAAGTAAACGATTACTGACTTTGTCGGATTAGTTTTAACCCGTTCTTGCTGGAATAAGTGTATATTTTTTCTAAACACTGTTCAACTTTGTTCTGGGCTTCGTATGCTTCTGATTTTCTAAAACTTAAATGTAATTGGGTATCGTCGGCATATCTATGCATTTTGCAGTGGTTATCGTCCACTGCTATGTCCATGGTGTATATAATAAAAAGTAACGGACCGAGAATGGATCCCTGAGGAACGCCCTTAGTAGTAAACTTTGCCTCCGATTGATTACCATTCATCGAAACAAATTGGGACCTATCAACTAAATAGCTGTGAAAGAAATTAACAGCAGCCACAGAGAACCCGTAATACCCAAACAAGCAACATGTGGTCCAACGCGTCAAATGCCTTACTATAATCCAGCATTATCAAAGCAGAAGTTCGGCCTTCATCAGCTGCAGATATAATGTCGTCAAGCACACTTAATAACACAGAAGCTGCGCTATATCCCTTTCGAAAGTCTGACCGAGTGGGCGGTATAAGGTTCGAATCGTTCAGATAACTAACAAGTTGTATGTATATCGTCTTTTCAAATATCTTTGACAAGGTAGGTAAAAGGCTTATGGGTCTTAAATCTGAAAAACTACCAGGATTATTTATTTTAGGAATAGGCGTTACAGTAGCTACCTTCCATTGAGTCGGATAAACTCTGGAAGTTATACATTCATTAAATATGTGGGCTAGAAAAGGAATAATCACATTACAATGGTGGAGAACTGTTGTAATAATCATATTACAATGGTGGAGAACTCATGGTACTGAACTTCCCATTTTAAGTTTCATGGCACGAGATCTCTTGAGTATTCCAGCTACCTCAGTCCCGGCGGAAAGATTATTCTCCCGTGCTGCGTTAACCATTAGAAAACACAGAAATCGCCTTAATAATGAATCTGCACGATGTTTGTTATGCCTAAATGACTGGGTGAGAAACAAAAACATTTGCGACCGAGAAGGCTGTTAGTGCCAATATTATTGTTTTTACTTGTTTTCAAAATTAATGTTAAGTTTTTGGTTTTTGTTTTGTGTTTACATATTACTATGAAATATATAATTTATTTTTCAACGTTTGTAATTTTTTCATCCTACTTTTATATTATAGTAACTATAGCTCAAACAAAACAACTTTGGGAACACATAACTTGAAATCAATCTTTTTTTACACCCTCAATGTTTAAATTTTAGTTGTAGCCTAATAAATATCGATTAGTTAATAAAAAATAAACAAGAAAAATTAGATAAATTACAAAAATGTTCCGGTTTCTTTACAAATGTCACGTGATCCCAAGGTTGTTTTGTACAAACTATAAATACATATCCCGTACTGGACTGGAACAAGGATTATGCATGATGAAATTTCAATACTTTCACGAGACTCTTGTACGAGACGCGAGACGAGACGAGACTGGATGAGGCTCCGAGACGAGACTCGATACGAGACTTCTTATTTTATCGGCGAGACAAGACAAGACTTTATGAAAGTTTCGTCTCGTTGGTCTCGTGGGAATCACTAATCTTATGAACCGGTATAGCTAGACAGTTGAAATTTTTACAGATAATGTATCTATGTTGCCGCTATAAGAACAAATACTAAAAACAGAATTAAATAAATGTTTATAAATAAAAAAGTACTTTCACTAAACATTATCTTTTAAGTAAGAATTTTACATAGAATCTTTCAAGTCCACGTGATTAAAGCGTTAGGACTTTACGCTGCTATGACGTTGGAGCCGGAGTAAGGCAGGTTCGAATCCTAGTCAAGGCGACTTTTTTTAATCGTTTTTTTTTAATTTTTACATATTTTTACATATTTATTTCTACTTTTATTTCTACTATTGATTAATACAATTTTTAGTAATGTGTTTCTTCATTTTTTTTTAAATTACTTATACGCGCAAATCAATTCAAAATTACAGCTAAATCGGAAAAAAGTTTATAATAATATAATGTCTAATATTGTATACAGGGTGGTCCGAACTGTATTCCGAAAACTTCGGCAGCATATTCTGCACATAAAATGAAGTAAAAAACTTCTTATAAATGTATGTCCTAAAATGCTTAGTTTCGGAGATACAGGGTGTAGAAATTTCATTTTTATTTCGATTTTTTCCAAATAATTTCTGAAGTAACGTCAATATTTGGATGAAAATTGATGTCTGATAGTTTTTTGGCATGAGAAATTTGATTTTGATGTCATTATAACTCCTATTTGTAGAGGGCGCCACCTACATGTGTTTTAAGTGTTTTGAAGAGTAATAACTTTTTGTCCGTACCTGTTTAGAACTGCTGAGTGAAAAAATATATATTTTCGTGTTTTTTTACGTAAAAAATGTCTCTTGGTAAAAATCGTTACGAGCAACCCTTCTCGAGATATTTAGAATGGGAATAGTCAATACATGTCATTATTGACAAAAAATAAACATATTGAGTAGATAGTTATAGGCATAAAATAATAAATACAAGAAGAAGTGTCAAGTCAATGTTAAATTATGGAAACAGCGTGGCTGCCTGGGTAACTAATTTTCAGATATGGCGGCTGGGACATTTGACATGATTTGACATGACATAGACACTTCATTGACATGACAATTTCAATTTTATGAAATTTATTTCCGTTTCCGGTTTTTAATGGCGGGCTGTTCAGGAGGTTTAAATGAGGGTTAATATACTTTTTACTTTTTCTAGTAGTAAATAATACAACAAAATTAGTCAAAAATATTTATTTGGAATTTAAAACAATGTAAATATGCAAATCAACACAATTAAAGAGCTATAAACCCATAAACTACTGTATCAATATCAAAATATTTAAATAACATCAGAGATGCTGTGTTAAAGTGAATTAGTAAAGTAACAATGCACTAACTTACAGAAACTTGAAGATAAATAAATGTTTTCACAGCTTCACGGGCGTAAAACTAACTGGAAGCAAGAAAAAGACAACAGGAACCCACGCAAAACCTGGAATCAAAAAAAAAATATGTAAAAAAAAACATAATAGGTACATAAGACTGTTGTGAATTAAATCAAACAGGACTTGAATGAAAATAAAATGAATAAAAAATATGATACATATACATCTAATACCTCATTTGTATTTTAAAAATAATCTACATACATAGCATTATTGCTATGAAAATACATAATAGCCTATAAACAAGGATAATAGGTACCTATGTGATATGTAATTACGCATTTCTGTTCATCTTGTAGATAATTAATGTAGGCTAATAATAGTTCAATAATCATAATTTACCTTGTGTAACTTGCTTTCAATTGCTCAAAATCACCGATCAGTCTTTAAAGTAGAGATACGGAAAAATCCTTGGTAAAGAATATCCCAAGATCCTTGGATCTAAAGCTAAAAAAATATAAAAACAGTTAATATATTACCTATTTTTACATATATGGCCCATACGTACTACACGTAGAAACGTCGATTTCATCATTTTCTTCATGTAATTAATACCATATATACTTTATTAAAGTGTTAACAAGGAACTTTATATCAAAAAACATCTTTGTACTTATAAATTTCTGCCGAAATATCATAAACAAACTTCCAATCAAATCTAAAACGGCAAAAATTAAAATGGCGCCCGACCTTGCCAGCATCTTGCCAGAGGCCTCGGGAGTTGACACATGGCTGACACACAGACAAAAGAAGAGGACGCCGACGTGCATAAAAATGTTCCGTAACTAAAATTGACAGAAATCATATAGAAATATTCAGATTTTTGTCTAGGACAGTCTAGAAGGCCATGCTTTCTGCCTGGGTAAGACCGCGCCAGAACTGTTTCCAATTTTCCGGTTTACTGTCACCCTCCTGGTTATAGGACTAAAAAGATAAATTTGGAAAAATTTTATTTTTTTAAATTAATCATAAAATTTTCTTCGAAAAAATGATGATTGGTGATGATTTGGCACAAAAACATTTCAAATTTATGATTTCCGTCTGTTAACTATTTAGTCAACATGTTTATATAATTTATGAAAATGATGACAGGTATTGATAATTTCGATTTCAAATATCTCGAAAACTATTACTCGTAGCGATTTTTATTAAGAGATATTTTTTACGTTAAAAACGTAGTAAATGTATATGTTTGGACTTAGTAGGTTTATACAGGTACGGATGAAAAGTTATTACTCTTGAAATCAGTTAAAAATATGTAGGTGGCGCCCTCTACAAGTAGGAGCCATATTGACATCAAAATCGAATTTCTCATATCAAAAAACTTCCAGACACCAAATTTCATCCAAATATTTATGTTACTTCATAAATTATTTGGAAAAAATCGAAATAAAAATGAAACTTCTACACCCTGTATCTCCGAAACTAAGCATTTTAGGACATACATTTATAAGAACTTTTTTACTAATTTTTATCTGCAGAATATGCTGGCGAAGTTTCCGGAATACAGTTCGGACCACCCTGTAGATAATGAATGGTACGGAACCCTTCGTGCGCGAGTCCGACACGCACTTGACCATTTTTTTTTCTTTTGCCTTTTTTACGTGGTAATAGCCCTCTACATTATTCGACTTTGACTTACTTCGCGAATAGTGTAGTGGCAGTTAACTTACCTTGGGACAAAACATAGTTGCCCTTGCTCAAAAATTCTTCTGACGATATGTTCAGTGTCAACTTCAGTATTCATGCTAAGATAAACAGAGATGCGCTTGCTATTTTTAAAAACTGGTAAATTAACCAACTAAAAAAATATAATATACAACAAATAATTATCAGCCAAATAAATAATACCTTTCTTCCATTATACAGGGTGTCCCAGAAATAAGTGCAAGTATTTTAACTGGTAACCAGAAACACGCCTATGAGGCTTTTTTCGCGAAAAATTTTTTTTGAAAATTCAAAATTTTTTGAAAATTTTTTTAGTTTTTAGTTTAAAACATAATTTCTTGATAATATGGCAGCATAGGTATTAGATAAAATTTACAAGAAAGAAAATCCAGAAAAGATCCAGTGGTTCTCAAAATTTTAGCAAAAAATCTTGGCAAAATTTTTTTTTGCAAATTTTCAAAGTAAAATGACTCCGTTATTTTGGACTTATCTGATAAACGATAAAGAGAAAATATGTTTCTTTTATCGAGATCTACCACCCCTTAAAATACTTGCACTTATTTCTGGGACACCCTGTATAGGAAGTTTGAAAATAAATTCAAAAAAGTTTAAAGGATGATTCCTTGTTAAAAATAAAGAGTATATCCGGTCCGAATTGTATTCAGGAAATTTCAGACAGCATAATATGCAGATAAAAAAAATGTAAAAAAGTTTTCATAAATGTATGTCCTAAAATGCTTAGTTTTGGAGATACAGGGTGTAAAGTTTTATTTTTATTTCAATTTTTTCTAAATCATTTCTGCACTAACGTGGATATTTAGGGAAAATTGGTATCTAGGTGTTTTTTGACATGAGAAATTTGATTTCGATGTCATATGACTCCTACTTGGACGTAGGATGACCATATCCATGTATCTAGACATATACTTTTAGGAGGGCTCAAGTCTTTTGGGGGGGCTTAGGTCACTATAAGATAAGATTCATGTGAGGTTAAAACCAATTTTATACGACACGCAATTATACGACACGCAACAACCCCCTGCCCCCCCCCCCCGTTGCGCCTCTACTACTGAGTGACAAAATATACATCGCTTGATAAAAATCGCTCAAAATATTTCAACAGGAGCAGTTTTTGTCCGATTTGTTTGATTATTTCGATTACAAATCTCTTAAGAATGCTTCGTCGTAGCGATTTTTACCAAGAGACCTTATTACGTAAAAAACAGTAAATGTATATATTTCGCACAGCAGTGTTCGCTCCCTACAAATAGGAGTAATAGTGATAGCGAAATCAAAATCCTCATGTCAAAATACACCCAAACACCAATTTTCATCCAAATACCGACATTAGTTCAGAAATTATTTTGAAAGAATCGAAATATAAATGAAACTTCTACACCCTGTATCTCCGAAACGAAGCATTTTATAATATTTACACGAACTTTTTTACTTATTTTTATCTACATTTTTATCAACTTAATATGATGCTGAAATTTACCAAATACAATTCGGACCACCCTGTATAGTTACTTACCAGTGAAAAGTATTCCCTTATTTCTTATTTCCATCGATATCGAGATCTACCGCACGCAACTAACTCTACCGGGTGCGTCTCAAAAGTATCACCCTTATAACTTTTTTATTTTCTCAGATAAAAAGACGAGATTTGGTATGTTAGTATATATGACATAAATTAAGATTGATTGACGTGTTCAATTGTTTCTGTAACTTCCTGTTTCACCGGAAATGACTACCATGGGCTGTGTTATAAACACTAATATTTAATTAAGGAGCCTTGGAAAAATAGATTTGATCGTCTAATGTTTTTCGTTTCTTATCCTGGCCGGTTAAAAAATGCTCAAATCGTATTTTTAATAAAATCTCAATTTTTTCAAATGGAACGAGAGTGGCTCGTTAGCGTATTTGAAAACCATATGAGAAAATGTCGTGTCAAAAGTTGACAAATGGTATATCATTCTACTCAGAGTGTCATTTTCTATCGAATAAAGTAAAAAATACCGAGGTTGCCATTTAAAAATCAAAAGTTGTAGTCATTTCCGCTAAAACAGGAAGTGACCGAAAACAATTAAATACGTCAATCAATCCTAATTTATGTCATATACTAACATAACAAATCTCGTTTTTTTATCTGAAAAAATAAAAAAGTTATAGGGGTGAGCCACTTTTGAGACGCACCCGGTATTTTACAGTTTTTTTCTGAAATTAATTTCAGTTCTGACGCAATATCCTTATTTTTTTATTAACTATTTCTTAATAAAACAATTGTAGAATAAATGATAAATAACATAAAACAAGCTCAGAAAAGCACAATACATTCGGAAAAAATTCAAATCTGTCAATTGAAACGTCAAACAAAACTGTCAAAAATGGGAATTTATGATGTTAATTTCATTTCTAATGCCATGAATACATGAATAACATATTCCTCCCTTAATATTTTAATTCCAAGCATTATTTTAACCAAGGAATCAGCGCTTAATTTTTTTCATTCATTTGCTTTATATAAATACACCCTTTATATATTTACTATTGATACGAACCTTATCAAAAACAACTTTGGATTGTCTACATATTTCTTCACGGCTTAAATTTTCGAGTCTTTTAGCAATTTTCTTTCGTAGAGCTGCTTTTGCTTCTTTAACTGACATCGTGCTGCTTAGACGGATAAAACCAAGTTTCATTACTCTACAAAAGAATAAATTAATAACATTATGTTTATATACTTTTTCCTGTTCGTATCAAAGTCGTTATAATAAAATTACGCAAAGGCCATGTGATATGATAAATATAGTACATAAATTACCAATGTTTTTAGAGTAAATCTTATCTTTCGTTAATATTTGAATGATCAATAATAACGCGCTGAAGGCCATCTATTGAGATGTTTTTAAATCAACCTATTGATCAGTAAATCTAGGAATTCTAAAATTTCGTCTGTAATTTTTATTTTTATTTTCTTTTATTTTATACGAAATGGTCCAAGTGCAAAATGGTCAATAACAAGAACATGTGGGCCATCTAGTGAGATATTTTTGAAAAACTCGTATTGATTTATCTTATGTAGAACAAAAATGTTTTCTTTACCTTATGATATCTCCAAAAACGTCGATAATAACATAAGAACCATCTATTACTAAGTTCCACAAATAATTTTATATGGATAAAATTTAATACAGAAACATACTTTTTTTGGATTATGTTTTCACATGACAGAGGATGTCACCGACGTCTGTCAGATTTGAAAATGCCTTCAACTCCTAATATTTTATAAGAAATGTACCGGGTGGCCAACTAAGAATGGACGCCGGCTGTATCTCAGAAACTACTTATCGTATAACTTTGGGAAAAAAATTCTAATAACCAAATCTTTGAATAAGAAGACTAAGGAAGGAGCATATCAAAAATCTTAGGTACACCGCGATGGGCCTCAAATATGGCCGACTTAAATTCCTGTTTATCTGTGTCGTTCTAATTTTATTTAAAAAATGTAAAACTATGATGTAGAGTAGACGTGGGGTAGACTCAATAATTTGTTGTTTTATTTTGCGTTGTGAATAAATGTTGGTAGTTATTAAAATTGTTATAAAAATATATAATTCTAATAAAAATAGATAAGTTATAATAAGTATTTATTAACACAAACATCCGATACGCTACTGAAGCAGGTAAGTCAAATTAACGTATCTAAATTCTTTGACATCTAATCTTTGACAAGTAATAAATAAAAGCTAAAATGCAAGAAAAATATATAATTTAGTTAATTTAAGTGAATTTCATAAATGATCGGTTTACTACACGTATGTATATTATATAGTCACTTACTAGCGAAAAGTTGTTCCATTATTTCACTCAATTTTTGCCGAGATCTACCGCACGCTACACAACCAACTATTTTAGAGTCTTTTTCGATAAATCGCGATAGTGTCACTGTTAATTTAAGTTCTGCCACAATTTCCATCTAGATTTACTACCTTTATACAACTATCAGTAGTAGAATAAATAATAAATAACATAAAATAAGCTCCGTAAAGACTGACAAATCCACAAAATTTCAAATCAAATTCAAATGTGTCAAATGAATCGTCAAACAGAACTGTCAAGGATCCCCACCCTAGAGAGCTTTTATGGTGGCTTTTCCGCCCACCATGCATGAATACATGGATAGCATTATGCTCCTTCCTTAGTCTTCTTATTCAAAGAACCAAATCGACCAAGAGAAATCGTTGGAAATTATTTTCAAGTTCGAAAATAGGGGGCGCTTCCCGCTAGGGGGCGTTTCTGTGATAGCCAATCAGAAAACAGGGTTTTTCTCAATAATATGCAGGTGAACAGGTATTTTAAATATTACTGTTGTAATCATCGAGAAATTTGTAATTTTTTTTATATAGAGAATTTTGCTCTCTTTCATAAAATAAAGTGGTGGGGGAAGATTAAACTTGCTTTTATTAAAATAAGGATAACTCTGGTTTAGGTTAGCCGATTTAAACAAACTAGGGCTCGTTTAAAAGAGCTTTTCTTCCTTAATGATCTCCAGTATAAATTTTGTTTCCATAAATTTTTTCCTGGTAGCTAGAGGGCGCTGTTTGGCATCATATCAGATATTGCACTTTCCAGTGGTTCTCAAAATGCGAGCAAAAAATCATTTTTTAAATTTTCAACGTGAAGTAACTTACTTATTTTGGACTTATTTGAAAAACGGTAAAGAGAAAATAATGCTTCTTTTATCGAGTTTTATCGAGATCTACCAGTCCCGAAATAATTTGCACTTATTTAAGACTGGCCCTGTATATCGGGTCTATATACCATTTTTTAAATGAGGAGAGAATTGATATAAATTGTAAGCATTTAATTTTTTAATGTAATTCTAGCTATTTACATGTTAATAGTCAGAATTTTGTATTTGTTGTATTTTTTAATTTTATTCATAAGTATCAAATGGTATAATGCAATTTTATAGATAATTAACTATTACATCTGATGCTTGCAAAATATACAAGATGTTCCATTTAAGTTAAAGAAGCTATTGCAGTATAAAGCTAGTAATTATTTAAAATAAATTACATTTTTTTAGTCACCCTGTATAAGGTAGTATTATTTTCATTATTGCAACACAAGATTTATTAAATAAAAAAACTTCTGTACAATAATTGATTTTAAAAACTTAAATACGCCTAGAGAAATAAATCATAAAATTGTTATACTGCATTTTTACAAAATCGTAAATATTTCAAAAACGGTAAGATTAAAGTACGGTAAATCGGTAATCAAATTTACCTTTATTTTAATCGTAGAAACTAAAAATGTAATAATATACAGGGTGTTCCATTTAAATATACAACTTTGATAATTTTTATTTATTTAGGACACTCTGTACTCTGTACCTTTGGCATTTTGGCAAATAATTTTAAACTGTCGTAGCTTTAGTAGTCCTGGAACGACCCTATCACTAACAATTTCTAAAAATCTAATAGTTTGGCTACAATCAGAGATAACTAGCTACAACACTCATTTGGCTACGAATAGCGAATAGCGTGGGAACAACCCTGTAGATATACCTACCTATCTTTTCAAATAACCTCAGGAAAAATTAAAAAACATTTTACAATATTTCGAATATATTTTTTAATATGCAAGACTTCATATTTTTGTTTCCGAAATCACAATGATCATATTCGTTCCAATTTGGAAGACCCTGTATGCCTCATATGCCGGTATGTAATAATAAATTAATAATACCTCACTTTCTGCTATTTCCAATCTGTGATAATATATTAAATAATTTCAACAAGAAAAAATTACCACTTATTCTATAGTAATCAAAGGATTGATTTTGTATTGGCTAAAAGCAAACACAGATAGCAAAAGTATATTAGATTATCCTAATATTAGAAACCTAATATTACTCTACATAGATACAATTGAATCAATATAATACTTTACAGCTTTTAGATCAGCTACTGAACTTTTAATGACACCAATCACTAATTAATTACTTCTTAATTTGGAAAAATTTCCAGCAAAAAATGAAAACAAATCAACTTCACGTGCAAACAGCTGGTCAAAGCATGTTGTCACATCTACTAAAATAATTACCAAGATTTTTCATCATCTAATATTAAAAAATAAAATAAGATTATAGTTTTAAACTTGTATTAATAAAAAATAGATGTAGATAAACGTGATAAAAAAAAGTGTTAAAAGAATTAAATTTAATTAATAAGATAAAATATCATTCAAATATGTTTATTTCTTTAAAAATCCGAAAAATAAAGATATTTTAGTGAATCCGGCTACGTCGCAACGACGGCCTCCGCAGCGAAGATACCCGAAGTCCCTTGCCGCCGCGGTGCCGAACGTTTACGAACTAAATTCAGTTTGTGTTCATGCGGTGATCGGTGTGGCTGTGTTCGACATTGTTCCGATGTAAATTTTACGTAAAAGTTTTTGGTGCACGAATCGAATGCATAGGTAATGTACCATGTTTTTTATTTATAATTTAATCGTAGATTTTTTTATTTTTAAAAAATGTAGATGTTAAGTCACGTTACGTCTCGTAATATTGCATAACAAAGTGTTCTTAAAAGTTGGTATGATTAAAATTTAAGGTTATGTGTGAATGCGGTCTTTGAATGCAACAATGGGTTGTCACATTTTAATAATGTTGGGTTTTTATTTATTTGGTTTAGGATGTATAAATTAAAATTAAAAATGTGGACAATTTAAGGGTTCTATAAACATTCGGTGTTAGTGATAGGTGAGTTTTTTTTGTAAATTAAAATTACCTACATGACCGAAAAAAAAACGGCGTCAAGGAATGACGATCGATAATAATTTTGGCGAGGTCAATGTCTAGACATCATTATCTAAAAATTGACAAACTTTTTTCTCTCTAAGTAGGCATCTAGGGCTTAACCTCACCAAAATTATCATCAATTATTGTCATTCCGCAGCCGTCTTTGACGCCGTTTTTTTCGATCGTATGGTAGGTGCCTGTTTATTAAATAATAAAAGTTTATGTTTTTAGTGTAAATATATGTCATGTAATAAGTGATAATATTTAATTATAGAAAAAGTCCTGTCTAGCAAAATTTGTTAAAATTTCCACTAATTATTTTAAGCCTGATTAGGCAAATTACGTTATATTAATATAAAAATACGATTAAGAGTCAATATAAAAGTGAATTACAACTTAAAATACATTTCGCTAAAGAGTTTTAAATCTTTTACCCACAACTCGTCTATAATTTGATTATTATACATGAGTTTATGAAATAATAATAATATTCATTATTCATTAGTGAATAATGGTTTCATTATTCACCGCTTCCACGGATATCTCGATCCAAACTCCAAACAAGAGCTATTTGAAGTTTTTAATGTCACTTTTTGCATTCATCTCTGGGGTGTTCCAAAAGTTGTTTTTCTTGTCATAAGACTTTTAAAATATATTTTTTCCTTTATAATAAGTCTCTCATGTTATATCTCGACATGTAAACAAATTATTAAACACCATTACGAAGAATCAATGTTAAAATTCCTTCATTTTCTACTCTAAAATTCGAAATTTTATGTCACTTTTTGGCATTCTAAAATTCCTTAAATTCGATTTAAAAATTTGAAGTTTTCTATGTTATTTTTTGCATTCATCTATGGGGGGTTTCAAAAGTTGTTTTTAAAAAATAAAAACTTATATTAATATTATCTAAATTTTTTTTATAGTCCTGGATAAAGTATAGTATTCTACTCGAATATAATGGCTGTTATTCACCTGGACGATTTTTAAACTTCATCCGCGTGAATAACAGCCATCATTGTATGCTCGTTGAATAATATACTATTATCCACGACTCGTCTATAATTTGATTGTTATACATGAGTTTATGAAATAACAATAATATCCATTATTCACTAGTGAATAATGGTTTCACTATTCACCGCTTCCACGGATATCTCGATCCAAATTCCAAACAAGAGCTGTCAAACATTACCATTAATGTAAATAAATAATGTTTGTTTTAATTAGTTAAAGCTAAATTAGTTAGCTACCTATATACAGGGTTGTTCACCACATACGACACGGAGTATTGTAGCGAAACGACTAGATTTTTACAAATTGTAAGTTTTGGGTTCGTTGAAAGACTATTAGAGCTACAATTTAAAAATATTTTTACAAGATACAGAGTGTCCCATATAAATAAAAAATATTAAAGTTGTATTATTTTAAATGGAACACCCTATATATTATTACATTTTTAGTTTCTACGATTAAAATAAAGGTAAATTTGATTAAGGTTTATTACACTTAAACCTTACCGTTTTTGAAATATTTTCAATTTTGTGAAATTGCAGTATACATTTTAAGGCTTCATTTTTCCGAGGGTATCAAAGTTTTTAATACTAAATATTTACTGAAGTTTATTTATTGATCAGTTATTGTGTTGCAATAATAAAATTTATACCACCTTATACAGAGTGTCTAAAAATTTATTTTCAATAATTACTAGCTTTAAACGGCAATAACTTGTTTGATTTAAATGGAACACCCTGTATGTTTTATGAGAATCAGATGCACAATTTAATTGTCTATCAAATTGTATTATACCGTTTTTTACCTATCTTTTCAAGTTTCCGTAGAAAATGCATTTTCTTGTAATTTAGAACTCATTTATCAATATACCCATGGAATACTGACATTTTAGATTATTTTTAAAGATGTACCAAATTTTTAAAGAGTACAGATACTAATATTGTCGATATAGTTCGTTTAGTTCATTAAAAAATAAAAAAAACTGTTTAAATATTTGTTAAAGAGGACCAAAATATAATTCCAGTATTGAAACTACATTAATTGACTGTTTACGTTGATTAATAATAATTGCTTAAAATACTAAAAAGCTGAATTATGTATGTGTATTAGACAGTGTGGTAAAAAGTAACACCTTAAAAATGATATTTAATTTTTTGACAAATGCTTATTTATAACAACAGATACGTTCATTTTCATAACTTATTAATATATTGATTTCTGATTCAAATCCATATTTAATTAGAATAATTTATTAACGAATACAATTAAGTATGTAGTTAATTAGTATTTGGGCGAAATACTGATGGTTTATTTAATTAATGGTATACTCTTTTATAAAGATTTAAATATTTTTCTTTGTGCATACAAATGGCCTAGTAATATTATCGTTTTACTAAAAACGATAATATTACTAACCTACATTTTGTACATTTGTTGTTTTAAAACAATCTAAAATGTCAATATTCCATGGATATATTGATAAATGAGGTCTAAATTATAAGAAAATGCATTTTCTACGAAAACTTGAAGGAATAGGTAAGAAGTGGTATAATACAATTTGATAGACCGTTAAATTGTGCATCTGATTCTCATAAAATATACAGGGTGTTCTATTTAAAGTAAATAAGTTATTGCCGTTTTAAAGCTAGTAATTATTTAAAATAAATTTTTAGACACTCTGTATAAGGTAGTATAATTTTTATTATTGCAACACAATAACTGATCAATAAATAATCTTCAGTAAATATTTAGTATTAAAAACTTTGATATCCTCGGAGAAATGAAGCCTTAAAATTTATACTGCAATTTCGCAAAATTGAAAATATTTCAAAAACGGTAAGGTTTAAGTGTAATAAACCTTAATCAAATTTACCTTTATTTTAATCGTAGAAACTAAAAATGCAATAATATACAGGGTGTTCCATTTAAGAAAATACAACTTTAATATTTTTTATTTATTTGGGACACTCTGTATCTTGTAAAAATATTTTTAAATTGTAGCTCTAATAGTCCTTCAACGAACCCAAAACTTACAATTTGTAAAAATCTAATCGTTTAGCTACAATACTCCGTGTCGTATGCGGTGAACAACCCTGTATAGTTAAAGAAAATTTCAATGTTTTGTTTCCATCATGTTATTTACTCGTTATACTTGTTCAATATTTTTTTAACATTAAAAATAAAAACTTATATTAATGTTATCTAAATTTTTTTGATAGTTCTGGATCAAGTATAGTATTCTATTCGCATATAATGGCTGTTATTCACTTCGATGATTTATGACACTCGCCTGCGGCTCGTGTTATAAACTTCATCCTCGTGAATAACAGCCACCATTATATGCTCCTTGAATAATTATACTATTTTAACATACATAATTTCTAACTAGTGATAATAATCAATAACGTGTTTCTGTTTTATATATTTATTCATCTGAAGACCTGCGGCTTCGTATTCTTCTTGGAGTTTTCTGATCATATAACTGAGATCTTCTTCTTCTTCAGAAATAACTGATCATCTGATCATCTGCGAAGAACAATGTAAATGATGTGTCATCCCCCACTCTTAGCCCCATATTTTTGCATTTTCTCACTCAGTTCACCAGAGCTCTGTCCAAGTAGATTTTGAACAGTGTAGGAGATTAGCAGCATCCTTGTCTCAATCCTTTTGTTGTGTTAAAAAAGTTGGTAACCTCATTTCGTATCTTTATTATTCTTAATTCTTGCAGAGTTATTTTTATAATAGGTATGTGAAGCCCGAATCAACACGGGATTGATCTATGAAAGCGACATGGGTCTCTCTGCTACGCTATATTCTTTTCTCCAGAGTGATTTTGAAAGTAAAAGCATTGTCCACAGTCGATCTAAATCGAGCTCTAAAACCCGCCTGTTCTTCTGGCTGTTTCTCGATTATCTCCTCTTTAATTTTGTTTTTAAGTACCTTTGAGTAGATTTTGCCTATGGTTGGTATTACTACGATTCCTCTGTAATTTTTTGGGTCGTATTTTCCACCTTTTTTGTGGATAGGCGATATATACGCTTGTCTCCATTCTGTAGGTATCGTTTCCCTATTTAAGCATCTCTCAAATAGTTCTCTAAGCATTTCGAAGAGTTTTGGTGGGCCATATTTGATCAGCTCTGCATGTATTTCACCTGGTCCAGGAGATTTTTTTAGTTTGGTGCTTTTTTGCCTTTGACTACTTCTATTACTTGTTCGATAGATAGCTGCATTTAAAAACAGTGCATTTTTCTTCTTCATTTTTGAACATTTTCTTCTAGAAAATTTGTTCTAGTTTCCGTCAGAAGTTCTTGGAAATATTGCAGGCATTGGTGATCTGATATATTATCTAGCACGATGTTTGTTTTATTTGTTGTTCTAACTGATTTTATTGTTTTCCAGGCTTCTCGGAGCATCTTGCGCTTCCTATTTGTCTGTCAATATATTCACATTTGTTTTTTTTCCCTGTTTATTCTTTTATATTCTGTTTTGGTATCTTCGTCTTTCTGTTGCAGTAATTTTTGATACGTTTCCTTCTTTTGTTTTATTTTTTCTTCAATTTCTCTGTCCCACCTATATGCCCAAGATCGGAAGACAAAAATTCCGATCTTCTAGTTCGAGTGCTTCTTCTGCAGCTTCTCTAATGCACCGTTTTATATATTCA